AATCAGGATCACTGCCTGCTGCTTCCTGTGAGGACTCCGAATGCCTGTCAGTTGCCCACAGGGGTCTCACCTTGTTTATTCACACACTTCCAGCCGCCTCTTCTCTCTGGTCAGCCCGGATTCCTCTGAAGCAGACTCCCTGACCTGAAACAGGGAATGTGCCACCTGGGCTTCTCTCCAGCGTGCTGGCTTCTGAAGGTTCACTGGAAATGAATGAGGTGGAGAAACTGTTTGCTAAAGATCCTCTCAGAGAAGGTATTTTATGTAGCTCTGGGACATATTTTCGTAAGCAATGTGGGCTCGCCGGAGGACCTCCCAGCCTGCCTGTGGGGGTGGTCATTCTGTGAACTGCAGCACTTTGCTGGGTCTGGACCCCGAGTTTAGTGTAGTGAGGATGAGGAAAAATAGTTGTAGTGGGCATTTGGCACAGCAGTAAAAGGCCATGTGGGATGCCTGCTTCCCATATCTGAGTTTGAGTCCTGGCTCCACTTCGGACTGCAGCTTGCTACTCCAGTGCACCCTGAGCGGTAGCAAGTGATGGCTCAAGTCCTTTGGGTCCCTGCCATCCCTGTGAGAGACCTGGCTTGTGTCCTGGGCTCCTGGCTTCAATCTGCCCTAGCCTCAGCTGTTGTAAGCATTTGGGGAGTGAAACAGTAGATGGAAGATCTGTCTGGCTCTCTGCCTTTCCAATAAATACAAATAAATTTTTTTTTAAAAAAAATTAAATGTTTAATTTAAAAAGCTGAGAATCTGGTGTGGAGAAAGAGAAAATATGCTGTTGTACCTCTTATGTTTTGTGGCAAGAAGTCTCAAACGTAAGAATTTTTTAAACTAAATCAATGTATTGTATCTGTTAGTCTCTTTCATTGCTATAATGAGATGCCTGAGACTGGGTGCTTACTGAGCTCAGAGCTCGGGAGATTGACAGAGAGAGCATCGTGCTGGCGTCTGCTTGGCTGATGAAATCCTCGTGGAGGATGACGTCACAGCGTGGGAGCTCTTGCCAGAGAAGGAAGTTCCATGGCAAGACAGGAAGCCAAGGCCGGTGCCTCGGCTCACTAGGCTAATCCTCCACCTTGCGGCGCGGGCACTCCGGGTTCTAGTCCCGGTCGGGGCGCTGGATTCTGTCCCAGTTGCCCCTCTTCCAGGCCAGCTCTCTGCTGTGGCCAGGGAGTGCAGTGGAGGATGGCCCAAGTGCTTGGGCCCTGCACCCCATGGGAGACCAGGAAAAGTACCTGGCTCCTGGCTTCAGATCAGTGCGGTGCGCCGGCCGCAGCGCGGCGGCCATTGGAGGGTGAACCAGCAGCAAAAGGAAGACCTTTCTCTCTGTCTCTCTCACTGTCCACTCTGCCTGTCAAAAAAACAAAAAAAAGACAGGAAGCCAGAGCAAGGCGGGAGGGGCCAGTGACCCCACCACCAAGGCCCAGCTTCCCAGTGCACGAGCCCTTTGGGGACACACTGAAACCACAGCCGTGTCCCCCACCCCGTAAAACTCACTGTGTTGTCTTGCCTTCCTCAACCCTGGTAATCACAGCGATTGCCTTTTTTGGGGAAACGTCACTGGCTTTTTGGGAAACTCATAATGCTTTTGAGATTCATCCTAGTTATTGTATTTACGGATAGTTTGAGATAGCAATACTTTGTTCCTCTCTATTGGTGAGAAGTATTCATTGCATAGAGGTACCACAGTTTGTTTATTCATTCATTCACCTGTTGAGGGACATTTCAGTTGTTTTCAGTTTTGGATAATTTTGAATAATAATTTGAATAGAGCTGCTATAAACATGTTGCAGCTCTTTGTGTGAACATATTTTCATTTTTATAGGATAAATAAATGAATGGGGTTCCTGGGTCATAGTAAGTATATGTTTTACTTTCTAAGAAACTGCCAAATTCTCCAAGGTAACTACTATTTCCATTTCATCCAACAATGTATGAGAGTTTCATTTGGTCACATCCCAATTAGCACTTCATGTTGTTAGTAATTTTTGTTTTAAATTATTATTTAAAGGCAGAGAGATAGATGCAGACAGACATGGACAGAGATCTTCCATCCACTGGTTAATTTTTTTTCCCGAAGAGTGATTTATTTATTTGAAAGTCAGAATTACAGAGAGAGAGGAAGAGATAGAGATCTTCCATTCTCTGGTTCATTCCCCAAATGGCTGTAATGGCTGGGGCTGGGCCAGGCCAGAGCCAAGAGCTTCATCTAGATCTCCCATGTGGGTGCCTTGGCACAAGCACCTGGACCATCTTCTGTTGCTTTCCCAGGCAGATTAGCAGGGAGCTGGGTCAGAAGTGGAATGGCTGAGACTCAAACCTGTACCCATATGGGGCGCCGATACTACATATGGTGGCTTAACCCACCCATGCCACAGCGCCTGCCCCTGGTTAATTGTTGAAATGCTAGCAATGGCTGGGGCTGGCTGGAGCAGACTGAATCTGGGAGCTGGAAACACAACCCAAGTTGCCTAGGTGGTGGTGGAGACCCAAGTACTTGAATCATCACTGCTGCCCCCGAGGGTGTGTATTAGCAGGAAGCTGGGGTCAGAAACGGAGCCAGGCACTCTGATATGGAATGTGGCATCTTAACAACTAGTCTGGGCGCCTGGCCCCTCAACACTGCTTTTAGTATCCCATATAGTTTATCTACTTTGTCTTTGGCTATGCCTCTTGGCTTAGGTTTCACAGTGGCTGCTCTGGGAATTTCCATATACATCCAGAACTTTCCACACTCAGTTGGATTTGTATTTTACTTCTTTCAGTGAGATGTGGGAACTCTCCTGTAGTTCTGTTGCTTTCCCATCTTCCCATTACGGCTGTTAGAAATGACTTACCTAGATTGGCCTGTACAGTCGGTTTTATCCTTTCTGCCTCCAGCTATCCGATACATGGAAGAGCTCAGGGAGAGCAGTCTGTTGTGGTGCCCAGGGCGTGGCCGTGGTCGTAGCCCCTCCTCTGTTCTGAGTGGGAGGGTTTCCCTCCTGTGCATTTCCATTCTGTCTGAGGAGCTTCCTCCAGCGATTCTTCTAGAGCAGGTCTCTGTCAACAGTTCTCTCCTTCAGCTGAGAATGTCCTTATTATGAAGGTTGAATTTAGGGCTGACACTTTTTTCCTCTTCCTGGCATTTATTTTTTTCTACTTTCTAGACTCCGTGGTTTCAAACTAGAAATCTGCAGCGGGGGCCTGGGCCATGGTGCTGCAGGTTAAACTGCTGCCTGCAGTGCCGGCATTCCATATGGGTGCCAGGTTGAGTCTCGGCTGCTCCACCTCCAATCCAGCTCCTGCTAATCTGCCTGGGAACACTGGCAAAAGATAGTCCAAGAGCTTGGGCTCTTGGGAGAACCGAAAGAAACTCTAGCCCCTGGCTTCAGCCTGGCCCAGCCCTGGCCTGTAAGGCCATTTCAGGAGTGAACCAGTGAACCAGCAGTGAACAATGTCTGCCACTTTCTCTCTAACTCTGCCTTTCAAATAAATACATCTGAAAAAAAGAAATGTGCAGTGATTGAAATGATTTTCTCCTGTAAGTGTGACCTGATTGCTGTCTCCCTAAATGCTCTCATCGGAGCCACGGTTAACGTAGCATCAAAGCGCAGATGACCGCTGCCCAGTGTCTTCTCGGAGCTCCAGCCTTCGGAGTGTTCAGTTTCACCTCGCAAACTGACTTGTCCACGGAGCTTAGGATGCACTCCTTGCTTCTGAGGGAATTACATGGCTAGCCATTTCCTAGTGGCCATTCTTTATTTTCTCCCTCTCTCAGGCTGCCTCCAGCTAGTCTCCAAGAATTCCATCTCCAAACTGTGTCGTTAAGTTCCTCCTCTGTTTTTTCTCTACTGCTGCCCTCCAGTTCCAAGCTAACATGATGCCATTCCTGAACTACTGTATACTTTATTCCATGTAATTTGTTTTCACACAGTAGAGATCCTTTTTACTCTTTTTAGAGTTTTATTAGAAAGGCAGAATGACAGAGAGGGAGAGAGAGCGAGAGAGATGATGACACCTGGAGCCAGGAAAATTCCATCTGAACTCCTACGTGAGTGGCAGGAATCAAGTACTTGGGCCATTGTCTGCTGTCTCCCAGGTGCAGCAGCAGAAAGCTGGATATGAGGTGGAGTAGCCAGGACTTGAACCAGGGACTCCAAAATGGGATGTTGGCGTCTCAGGCAGCCGCTTAACGTGCTGCCCCGCAACTCCAGCCCTGTAGCGGTCTTACGAAATCATTGTACTGGATTTCCCTTGTAGGTAGAGTAGAATTCTGATTCCTGATCTGGACAGTGTCTACCTTGCCTTTTTCTCATATTCCTCTTCTGACCTCCTGAACAGTAGCCACACTTTCCATTTCTTCCATGCGCCAGATTCTGCCCTGTGAGGATTTTTGCCCCCACCTTCTGCCACCCTGCTCAGCCTAGAGTTCCCTCTGCCGCTCGTCCCGGTCCTCCTGCCACCCTGCTCAGCCTAGAGTTCCCTCTGCCGCTCGCCCTGGTCCTCCTGCCACCCTGCTCAGCCTAGAGTTCCCTCTGCCGCTCGCCCTGGGTTAAGTACCACCTTCATTGGAGTAGCACACTTCCCTGCTTCAGCCTGTTACAAGAGATTTACAAAAAGTGACAGTTGCTCTTATCTCTTCATTCTTTTTTGAAAAGTGGGGTTTTTTTTAAATAAAAATACATGATTTACATTAGCAAGTTTTTCTTACTTGAGAATAAGTATTGTAAGGGACTGGCTTTGTGGCACAGAGGGTTAAGCCATCACTCGGGATGCTGGCATTCCATATCAGAGTGCTGGTTTGAATTACAGCATCTCTACTGCTGTTAACTTGTTAAAATTTCTCAATTTTAATCTCAAATGAGGTAAATAATGATAGATATAACCCATTTAACAAAATGTCTTAGGATATCTCTACAACTTTTTTCTTATAGTAAAATATATATATGACAAACTTTACCATTTTAATTATTTTAGGTATATAATTTATAGCATAAGATATTTACAATGTTGAACAACCATCCATTTGTAGAACTAGATTCTAGAACTAGAAAATTCTAGATATTTTATACAAGTAGAATCATATATTTTCCTGTTTGTGTCTGGCTTATTTCACTTAGTGTTTCCAACTCATCTGTGTTGTAGCTCATGAGTATATCAAAATTTCCTTCCTTTTATTGCCTGAAAATATCCCATTGTATGTCTGTACCACATTCTCATTATTCATTTATTTCCTCTGTACTCTTAGTTATAATGTGAGAGCACTTAAATGTAATTTTATCATTTAGTTTAGCGGGTTTATTAGTAAGTCCTATGGTATAGGATGCACATGTGGGTAGAATATGGATAGTGGAGATCCTTTCCCATACATTTTTTTATAATCCAGAGAAAGAGAAATTCAACGTGGTATTTGAGATTCTGAGTCATTAAATGAGGTAACTTTTAGTCATTCCTTAATTCTTACTTTTCTTACAGTGTTGACAGTACTGGCTTTATAATGGTTACTGAAAGCATAAACTTTTTTTTTTAAACTGGTAAAAATCGCCTATACCAATGTCATTCTTTTTCTAATAAGAATTATAATTAAGCAGATTATAATTTTATGTTTCAACTTTATTGAAGACTGCTTCAGTTCTGCTGTCCTGTAATCCAGCCACATTCACTTTATTGGCCTCAAGCAGTAGCTAGTACATAGTAGGTGCTTAATAAATGCTAATTGAATCAATGAATATTCTCAGCTATATGTTTACACTCTTGTGTTATTTTTATAGGTCACACCACCGAGGCCATCTATTATTTGTAATGTTATTAGTTTAATTCTCATAAGGTATCTTCATTTTTAGGTTTGTATTGTTACTCAGCTTTGTTCTTAGATATTAAAAACAATTAAGCTTTTATTTATATTTATTTATTTGAGAAGCAGAGAGAGAGAGAGAGAGAGATCCCTCCCACTTCCACTGATTGACAAAGGTCTGCAGTGGTGGAGGCTACAGAACCTGGAACTCAGGAACCCAGTCACCTGAGCCATCACTGCTGCCTCCCAGGGTCTGCATCAGCAGGAAGCTGGAGTCAGGAGCCAGAGCCAGATACTGAACCCGGGTGCTCAGTATGAGGTGTAGGCATTTTAACAGCTAGGCTAAACACTCGTCCAAAGGCTTTTGTTTTCAAAAGGTTTAATACTCATAATTTCAACACTGTTGTGCCTTGCTCTGACCTTTACTTAGCTATGGAGCCACAATATTAGTGAAAAGTTATTTTCTGGCGTCTGTCGGTGCTTATGAATCAGATGGTAACTATGACATTGACTTGGGCTTTGTGGCTTCTTGAATTCATGTAGGTGATGTAAAAGATGAGTTGTGTGTGAGGCATCTTCCTCTCTCACAGTATTTGTTGTTTTGTTGTGTACAGGTCTTCTCCAAGGGAGCTTTGCTCTCCGGTCTCACATCGTCGTCTTCCTGGGAATGAAAGCCATGTTTATGTACTGACCCTTGAATAGTCTTGTTATATTAAGCTATTTGTTTGTTACATGTGTGTTCATTTTATTTATACGTATTCTGAAAATGTTTCTGGAGTTGTTGGAGTAACTGCATTCTGGCTGAGACTTGCTGCTGACCAGAATTTTCCTTAGGTTGCTCTCCGCCCACTTGGGGCGTTGTGAGTGCTCATCCCCTCATTGGCTCCCTCTGGCCCTGAGTGTGTGAGTACATGGGGCGGGCACGGGTGGTGCATGTCAGGGAGTGGAATCCTAGGACTTCTTCTTACCTAGGACAGTGTACCCTGTGTGCTTCTGGGCGGAGATATGGTCCTCGGGACAGTGCTGCTTCCACCCCGTAATTACGGCAGAGCTCAGGACCTGGCACTTTGCTGCCTGAGCAGCAGAGCCTCGGAGCCTGCTCTGCGCGACGCACCAGGTATGGCTCAGAGGGGCCCGTGCGGGGTGGCCGACCACAGCGGGCAGGTGTGAATGAGGGCGTGAGGAAATCCATCTTGTCTGTCAGCATTGTCGCGCTCACCTCCGTCAGTGAAGGTCTGGATGCTGTGTGGCTGGCATTCTGTAGCAGAGCCTCAGCAAGTACTGACTGAGTGGAATAAATGTATAACTACTAGTCTCTGCCATTAGGATATGTATTGATTGAAGTGCAGAACTTAAGCTGTATTGAGAACTGTTGACTGATTCATTTTATACAACTTTTAAAGCATACTAAAAATTATTAACTTCTTGGAGAATATGCAGTCATATAAAGTAGAATTCTGGCAAGATAAGAGTTTATAAAATACTTAAAAGTGCCTGAAGTAAAAATTATATCTTTTGTTTTTTTCCAACTACTATATGACAAACATCTAATTAAACTGACAAAAGTTCTTGAATGACTAATTGGTGATAAGTGTTTTTAATAAAATGAAACAGTAAGTTTAGGAAGTATCTCTGAATTTGAGTTTAAAGTTTATTACTCTTGGCTTAAACTTGTTTCATCATAATAATTTATTTTTACAAGCTGTTATTTCTGTTTTCTTTATTTCTGTTTTATTCTGCAAATGTAACAATAGGAAAAATAATAAAAATATCTTTTATACTTGTTATCATGTATCTCTGCCACATGGGTCCTTTAAAGAGACACCAGAAATAAGTAAAAATCGGAGTGTTGTTTTCTCAGACCCATGATCTATGGCAGCAGTTAGTGGAAGATTAGTTAACTTGCTGTCTCAGTTACCTAATATATAACAGTTCACGTTGTTCAAAAATAAAACATTCCCAGCCTGCACACTTGCGGGCTTCGGGCGGGGACCGTATATCTTAGTCATCGTGTCTGTCTTAACTGAAGAGGAGAGTGGCGTCGACTGGGCCCGTGGGGTGACGCTGTGACCGCCGTGACATTTACTGGTCCTTCCCTGGGGCTTTAGTCTAATTCTGTGCTCGCCGTCACTCCTTAGCGTGTTCTTTCCCATTTAGTTCTTTACTCTGCGTGAGCCAATACTTGTTCATTCTTGGCCTCAGGAAAATGTTGGGATGTTTTTTCCTAGGGACAAGTTTTCCTTTTGTTTGGTGCAAGTGGGTAGGATGGCGTTCAAGTGTATATCCTGTGCAGACGGATTGTACGGGAAATTGACCCTCAGTTTTGTGAGAACAAAAGGGGAGTGGGAAGAAACAGCTAAGGAAGGAAGTTAAGGTCTTTTGACTTAATAAAAAAAAATCAAAAATGGAGAGTGGAGGATAAAAAAGGATTTTCACGTTAATCCATTAGCCTCAAAATGACTTTTATCCTGTTTTTATTTCTTTGTATATTTGAGAAATAGATAGTAGTGTTTGGCCTGTGAATATCTTTTAATATCTTTTGACATACATTTGTGTCATATGTCTCGTTCTGTTTTCTCCTTTTGTCAAGTGACATGGGTTTTTTAGAAGGTGACTTGGTTTTAGCAGTCCCGTATGGAGACAGGAGTTCCTTTTCAGTACAGATGAATACGTTATTAACTTGCCCTTGCACACTGAGTCATGAGTAAGAACTGCTGCTTTTCCTGTCTAAATGCTTGTTGAATTCAAACTTTACCCGACTCCATAGTTTTGTGTGAGATTCTGCCCCTGGGCGTCTTCTGTAAGTGTGGCAGCCACCTTTGATGAGACTCTCTTACATAGAAGCACTAATCTGGTTTCACTTAGTGGACAAAACAAATCCTTCGATAATACACGTGGACATGATACATTATACAATATATTTGGTGGCAGTAATTGCTGTGGAGAGTAAATCATGCAGGATGTAGGTGGGATGTGGGGGTGTTGTTAGGAATAGATGTTCTTTAAGTAAGGGTCGTGTTGCGGTGGCCCCTGGCCAGGCTTGGCGCAGGTCCTTGACTCCACGTGAGAAGGAGTTCAAGGACAAGACATAGATAAAGGTGAGCAGGAAAGCAAGATTTATTGAAAGTGAAAGTACACGTTTGAGAAGGAGTGCTGGCAAACTCGAGAGAGCAAGCTGCAGGCTGCGAGGTGGGGCTGTCTTCTCATACTACCTGGCATCATAGGAGGTGGTGTCTAGGGCAGGGCTTCTTTGAACGTTCAGAGAGGTAGAGCGTGGGGCAGGGCTCCAGTGCTGCCCATTTTTGGAAATCTTGGAAGTGTCATAGCATCAGGTGCATGATGGCAGGGGGAATGTCAGCCATGGTTATTTTATGATAATAATATTATAATTAACTAAAGGTCATCCCAGAGATGCAATCCAACCCCATTTTGGAGATTGCTTACCTGGCGCTCGTTCTAGTTGCAGAACTGCAGTTTGTGCTGTGTGAAAGGGGAAGGGACTGGCAGTGTATGGAAAGGGGGGTTTGCATGGTGACACTGAGCTCCACAGGGGCCAGCCCCAGAGCCATCACGCAGTCTCGTCATGCTGAGAGGTCTCCTGCGTGCAGTGGGCCGTGCAGGGCGGTGCTGTCAGACCCCAGCTCCTCTTGCTCTCCTCACTCAGAGAAGGCCATACTGACAGGGTGACATCTGAGTGAAATGTCATGGAAGGGAAGAGCCACTGAAACATCTTGCGGCGGGAGTATACCTGTGTTCAGGCCAGAGCCAGGAAGCCAGGGGCCAGACGGAAGCAAGCTCGGAGAAGAGCAGTAGGAAGTGAACGGAACAAGGCCGACCGTGGAGGGCCTGTAAGGATTTCGGGGTTTGGGTGCGTTCTCCAACACGGAAAGCATTGACGAGTTGAGAACAGAGGAGTCACAGTCTGACTAGTGAGTAAGCAGTGAGCAAGCGCAGGAGAATTGGAATCAGTTAGTAGTTGAGTGAAATGAAGTAACCCAGGTGGAATATACTGGTAGTGACAAGACGGTGGTAGTCCAGGGAGTGAGTGAGAAATGGATAGATTCTGGATACATTAATTTCTAACTATGGGACCGTTGCTATGGCGTAGTAGGCTAAGCCTCTGCCTTCAGCGCTGGTGTTCCATATGGTCTCCAGTTTGAGTCCCAGCTGCTCCACTTCCAATCCAGCCTGGGAAAGCAGTGGACTGTGGCCCAAGTGCTTGGGCCCCTGCACCCAGGTGGGAAACCCAGAAGAAGCTCCTGGCTTCAGATCGGCCCAGCTCTGGCAGATTGTGGCCATTTTGGGAGTAAACCATTGATGGAAGACCTCTCTCTCTGTCTCTTGCTCTGTTTGTAACTCTACCTTTCAAATAAATAAAAATTTTTAAAAGCTAAAAACAATTTTTAATTGTTATTTACTTTTAGACACAGCAAGTGAGAGAGCTTTCCCACTGGCTCACGCCCCAGATGCCCAAAACATCTAGGACTAGGTTAGGCCAAGCCCGGGAGCTGAGAACAGTCAGTCTAGGTCTCCCACATGGGTGGCAGGCACTCAGTTACTGGAACAGTCACTGCTGCCTCCCAGGCTCTGCATTGGGAGCCAGGTACTCAATATGGGATATGGGCATCCTAACTGGTGTTCTAACTGCTAGGGTCAATGCCCTCCCCCCAGCTTCAGTTTTGAAGGCAATACCAGCAGGATTTCTCATTGTATTAGATGTCATGTGAGAGCAAGAAAGGAGTCACATACAATTCCAAAAATTCTTTTTTAAAGATTTATGTATTTAGAGAGAATGAGATCTGTCCGCCGGTTCACTCCCCAAACAGCTGCAATGGCTGGGGCTGGACCGAGCCAGGAGCCAGGAGCTCCATCTGGGTTTTCCTGAGGGTAGCAGGGTTCTAAGCACTTGGGCTTTCTTCCGTGCTTTTCCAGATACATCAGCAGGGAGTTGGATCAGAAGCAGAGCAGCTGGGACTTGAACTTGGACTCACATGGGATATTGGCGCAGCCTGTGGCAGCTTAACCCATTGTGCCACAGTTGTGGCCACGTGATTGCAAACCTTGTAAGCTGAGCAACTGAAAAGGTGGATAGCCGTTAGCTGCGATGGGAACTCTGTGGGAGAAGCAGAGCAGGGGAAGGAATAGAGTATTTTTGCATGTGGGGTCCAAGTAGTGCTGGTGAGTTTTAGTGCGTGTATTCCGAAGCCCAGCACGGTGCCTAGCATGTACGGCGAAGTTCACTCAGATAACTAGTTGTGGAAGAATTAGGTGTCGATGTGCTGGGTTTCACAAAGTAACTGATAAATGGATACCCCTTGCTGTTTTTTGTCCTGATATGGTTTACCTTGGCTTTCACCACAGTGTCTCTAATGTGGTCATTGACAGCACAAAGTTCTTCTTAGTGTAGAGTTGTTATCCCTTTTACAGTTTCAAACAATGGGAACTTTCCCCTATCTAAAAAGAATGAAGTATACTTAGACTGTTTGATGATTATTAAGCAGAGCAATAATTACAAAACATTGTGATATGTTATGACTGTCACTGGGAACCCATTGTGGTTCATGTGGTATTTAGTATGGAAACAGGCTGTATTGTCACTTGTGTATTTTCTGTAACTCTTGGCGGATCTTTTCAATTTTTTTGTTGAAGATTTATTTATTTGAAAGGCAGAGTTACAGAGAAAGGGAGAGACAGAGAGAGATCAAGATCTTCTGTATGCTGGCTCACATCCCAAAAATGGCTGCAACAGCCAGGACTGGGCCAGCCAGAAGCCAGGAACTCCATCCAGGTCTCCCGCATGGGTGCAGGAACCCAAGGACTTGGACTATCTCCTGCTGCTTTGCCAGGTGCATCAGCCGCGAGCTGGATCTGAAGTGGAGCTGCTGGGAATTGAACCTGTGCCTCTATGGATGCTGGCATCACAGGTGGCGGCTTAATTTATTGAGGCACAATGCTGGCCAAGTCTTTTCCATTTGGTAAAGGATTGGCATTTTGTAGCCAGTGGAAATTTGCAAGGGTAGATAATTTTTTCATTTGAATAAAGAAAAATATAGTACATGTGACTACCTTAAAGAATGCTTTTATATATTTTTTAAAAAGTTTCATTTATTGAGGCTGGCGCTGAGGCATAGAGGGTAAAGCCACCGCCTGCAATGCTGGTATCCCATATGGGCACCGGTTTGTGTCCTGGCTGTTCTACTTCTGATCAGCTCTCTGCTATGGCCTTGAAAAGCAGTAGAAAATTTCCCAAGTCCTTGGGACCTTGCACCCACATGGGAGACCCGGAGGAAGCTCCTGGCTCCTGGCTTCAGATTGGCGCAGCTCTGGCCATTGCAGCCAACTGAGGGTGAACCAGCGGATTGAAGATCTCTCTCTCTCTCTGTCTCTCTCTGCCTCTCCTCTGTGAGCTCTGACTTTCAAATAAATAATCTTTTAAAAAAGAGTTTGATTTATTTATTTGACAGAGACGTGGAGGAAATGTGATAAAGCTAAACAAATTCTAAGGCTGTTAAAATTACATATCTAACCCACAACAAGAATTTCTCTGTCACATAGACAGAAGATCAATTTTGAAACATTTCGTTAATGTGATTTTAAGACTAAGATTTATCTTATTGTTTCTAGTCACATATTATCACATATTTGTTTAGCTAACAGTTATTGAACACATACTATGTAAGTCAACAGAAAGAAAGCACATAGATGAACTTCCTGTTCCCAAGGAGCACATCATACAGTTTGGGAAGCAACACCAACAAGTGGCCACTATAAATACAGAGACCAAGATGGAAGGTACCACTGTACCAAGTGGTCTGGGAGGGGTGTACTCCCAGGGGTGCTGAGTGTTCCAGAATGAGTCCAAGCCAGCCAGTGAAAGGAATGGGGGGTGAGAAGGGGGGAACCAGTTCTGGTGGACTGGGGGTCAGATGGTGGGGAGCAGCCTGGAGAATGCCAGAGTGTGCGACTGGAGGGTTGGGCTAGGGAGAGGCCTCGTCGTGGAGGGACTTAGGGTCATGGTAAGGAGACTTCAACCTGGTGGGGAACTGTTGAAGAGCCTTAAGAAGAGTAACATGGTCCAATTTTTGTCTTAAGTAGATCACTTTGCCAGCTGTGTGGAGGATGGACTTGAGGGAGACAAGACTGGAGGCAGTAGTCCAGGTGAGAGATGCTGGGGCCGGAGATGGAGAAGAGGGAATGGATTTGACAGACAACCACAGATTCAAAAGCTCTTCCCCCTCAAACAGGATGGAACTCATTTGAAATGTAAAAAATGAAAGAAGCAAAGAGACATGGCAGAAAATGTCTCTTGATGATAGACCATTCAATAGTACGCCTTGGCAGACAGCCAGTAAAGACAGTCCCAATAATGAAGAAAATCACTACTGGGAGAACAATGTGCATTTTATAACTGACCTGGGCTGTAGGAAACAGGTGATCTATTTGTGTAATGTGAATAAATTTGGGAACTCTAAAGCCTTGAAGGAAAAAAGAGTTCTTACAGGTCTCCAGCCAGTGCACACTGGTAGAAACTCAGTAAGTATCCATTGGGGCAGTATTTTCTAGGACTTTCCATTAAATTATTGATGATTTATAAAAATGTTCTGCCCAGGGAAGAAAATAGAGTAAAATTCTCATTTAAAACAATGAATAATAGCAAGTTGTTTCACATACAGTGCCTAGTAATGTAAGATTATTTTCAACTCTCAAGCATATTTTGTATTAAACCAAATTATATTTTATGTTACAGATAATTTCAGAATTGTTTTTCTAGAAGCACTTTTTAAAAACAATTTTCCCTGTATAATGGGGTCTAGATTTATACAGTATTCAAATACTTCTCAAAAATTATCTTTTCTACAATTTGTTTTATATGAGGAGGGTAAGGGAAAGAGGTATTTTGGGAGGACTGAGAAAACTTAACTGCTGTTTAAAACCACCACTGCAACAAAATGTTGAACATGGGCCGGCACCGTGGCTCACTAGGCTAATCCTCCGCCTTGCAGCGCCTGCACACCGGGTTCTAGTCCCGGTCGGGGCGCCGGATTCTGTCCCGGTTGCCCCTCTTCCAGGCCAGCTCTCTGCTGCGGCCAGGGAGTGCAGGGGAGGATGGCCCAAGTGCTTGGGCCCTGCACCCCATGGGAGACCAGGAGAAGCACCTGGCTCCTGCCTTCGGATCAGCGCGGTGCGCCGGCCGCAGCGCATCAGCCGCGGCGGCCATTGGGGGGTGAACCAATGGCAAAAGGAAGACCTTTCTCTCTGTCTCTCTCTCTCACTGTCCACTCTGCCTGTCAAAAAAAAAAAAAATGTTGAACATGTTTTATAAAACTAGTAGCCGCTTCATTTTGAGAGTTCTTTGCTTTTCTCTCCTTCAGGAAAGTATGCCTTTCCCGTTTCACTCTGGCAGTGAATGCCTATAAATCGGAGCCAAATTCTCATGTTGTGGTCTTTTCTCTACCTACCTTGCTGTGTTTTCAACAAGGAAATTGTGTCCTTGTGCTCAGGAGAGTAGTGCCTGTTTGTTATTCTGTATGACTGCACAGGCAGGACAGTGCTGGCCCTCTTTGTAACTGTCAGTATATGCTAGCCGCTGAAACACTGGGGATGTATTGAGTTCAGGTGAATTTTCAGCTGTTGAACTCACTGGGAGTTCCATTCCCTTTTTCTGTCTTTCAGAAGCTTTGCACCGTCCCTATGGTTGTGATCTTGAACCCCAGGCACTGAACGAAGCCATCAGGTGGAGCTCCAAGGAGAACTTGCTTGGAGCCACCGAGAGTGACCCTAATCTCTTCGTTGCACTTTATGATTTTGTAGCAAGTGGTGACAACACACTCAGCATCACTAAAGGTGAGGGGTCTGTGTAGTATCTCTGAGCTCTCACTGGTGGTTAAGAGATCGGGGCCTGTCTGGCTTCTGCCGCTGACTAAAATTAGGTAAGTCACTTGGGTCAGATGCTGTGGGTTCACTATCTTTTTTTGCCTGTGTATGGGATAATGCCCTATGATGTGTAACTCTATATTTTGGGGTTTATTAGGGACAAAATGAGAATAAACACCTTAGAAACTCCGTATGTAAACGTCCCTGATTCTCAGAATTTTGTACTGTATGTGATGTGCCAGTGCTCATCTACCTCAAAGGTAAGACTCTGGTTCTGACTGAGCGGTGACTTCCCACGCTGAGTTACGTTGCCAGAGCCCGGTGCTACTCACAATTATGGTCTGGGGAGTAACTGCCCAGAACTCTTCCGTCCCAGTCCCGGTGGGTTTCAGGATGCACTCAGGATGTCAGCCGGCTACAGCGCTAAGGACGCCATTTATACTGAGTTCAGCCCAAACGTTCATTTTTGGAGCAAGACTTTGTGCGTGAAGATACTAATCCAGTGCTCTGCGTTCTGGCACAAGCTGCCTGTTAGGGTCCAGCTTTGAGTTGTTGTGGCCTATCGTTTGTGTTTGTAGGGGTTGATCAAAGTCATAGTAGGACTGGTTTTATTATAATCTCAAGAAAATAGTAGTTTATTTCAATAGTGAATTCTTCTAAAAAAGGAGGACTAAGGACATGGCCAAGGAAAGTCACACGTGTATTTCTTGAACAAGAACAAAAAAGGGAGAACTCTTCTAAGGAAGAAATGAGACTGTGAGGACGTTTTCATTGTGTCCATGAATTTTATTGCTGCTCTGTCTAAACTTGTTCTTGCATTTTCAATTTATGAAAGCCTCTTACTGAGGAAAAAAATGTATCTTGGGATAATTTTTAGCTAGCTGAAATTATAACTTAAATGAGTATTTGTCATAGAGTTAGATGCTTTTTACTTGGAAGGTTCAGAATGAGCTATCAAATGGGAGTTGGTGTTCCAAAAAAAGACAGGTTTCCCTCCCCTCAAATAATGTTACTCTAGGTATAATTAAAAGTATTTAAAAATTTATTTTCATTTTATTTGAGAGGCAGACAGAAATCTTCCATTTGCTGGTTGACTCCCCAAATGGCCTGTAACAACCAGGGCTGTGAGCCAGGCTGAAGCCAGGAGCTGGGAACTCAGTCCAGCTCTTCCATGTGGGTAGCAGGGACCCAGGCACTTGAGCCATTACCCACTGCCTTCCCAGAGGTATTAGCTGGAAGCTGGATCAAAAGTTGAAATGGGCCTTGAAAAAGTGTACTCTACGGGCCAGCGCTGTGGCGCAGCAGGTTTAAGCCCTGGCCTGAAGTGCTGGCATCCAGTATGGGTGCTGGTTCCAGTCCTGGCTGCTCCTCTTCCAATCCAGCTCTTGCCTATGGCCTGGGAGAGCAGTAGAAGATGGCCCAAGTCCTTGGGCCCCTGCACCCGCGTGGGAGACCCAGAAGAGGCTCCTGGCTCCTGGCTTCCGATTGGTGCAGCTCTGGCCATTATGGCCATCTGGGTAGTGAACCAGCGGATGGAAGACCTCTTTCTCTATCTCTGCCTCTCTCTGTAACTCTTTCAAATAAATAAAATAAATCTTTAAAAAAAAAAAAAAGTGTTCTCTCATATGGGATGTGGACATCCCAAGTGGCAGCTAAGCTGCACCAAACGTCCACCCCTCATATAATTTTTGCATACATCAGTTTTCAAACTGAGTCGGAGCTGTGGCCTAGAGCAGATGTGCTTGTATGTGTGCATGTGCCAGGAGTTTCCAAGGCATGGGAAGCAGAAAAGTGCATTATCTCATGATAGCAACTACTTAAAGATTTTGGGTAGTATTGGGGACAGGATGCTGATCATATGTGTTATATGTTTAGAGGTTATGCTTATACAGTCAAAGGAAAGTTTTACAGTTTGAGGATAAATTAAGACTTTTGGAGAGATTTTGTACTGTACAGTAGTGTCTGTAGGACTCACATTCTGTTTTACCCCTGATCCTTCAGTGGAGAAATTGGTGAAGTGATGACTCAGAACATTCTTTCCCAGGTAGTTTTCTTGTCAGTATTTTCCAAGATAACTCAGTTGCCAAGGAAACACTGATGAAGAAAGTCTGCTGATGCCTCAGTTACCAGGGAGAGCAACAGCAGTGTGCAGCTCTGGCACGGAGGTTATCTCGGTCTGTGGCCAATAGGGGTTTCTCTAAAAACCAACGAAATGCCAGCTTTTTGTATCAAGTTCTTATTAATATAAATGATATCATACTGTTGCTATTTTCTTATTTTAAAAGATATGAATATGTTTTAAAAATAAAACACCAGGACTTATTTTAGTTCCTTTTTTGAAGATGGAATTTTGCTTGATTTAAAAATTCCAGGATTCCTTTGCAGATAGGGCCAGTGTTTGTGTCCCTGTTGGTCATCCCCTAGTCAACTTCCATAGTGGCCAAAACTTCCAGAGGAGATGAGACGAATAAGCAACCCAGGGTAGTTGACTGGGCGCTAATTACAATGGCCTGCCGCTGTCAGTTCTCTTAAAGAAGGCAGCAGTATAAAATGTGATGATGTGTATTGAGATACTGCTTAGTCCTCACTTCTAGTTCTTGTGGATCAGTGGAGAAAAGCTAGAGAGCAGCACTGTTTCCTTCCAAGATCAGTTTTTTTCTGTCAGCGTGATGGTGAGTATTTATCTCCTCAGTTGCACATACGCATCCCCACCCCAGACACTCCTGTCTGTGTACAGTGCATGTGTGTGTATTTCATAGAAACATACACGTATGTGTATGCACACACTCTGTGTTCTCTCTCCAGTTAGCTCAGTTGAGAGGTAGGGGCTAACAAATACCCGATGGCAAACGTTCTGTAGACGACCGGCCCCACATCGCTGATCCCCAGAACCTGGAGTTTCTCCTCAGCAGTCCTTGCCTGATGGCTTCAGGCCCTGCGCCTTTCGCTGATGGGGCTTCCTTCTGCCTTTTGTCACTGAGGAAGTCTGTGTGAACCCTGTGCAAACACTTGCATCTCTTACTGACCAGAGCCTTAAGGCGCTACAAGGATTCGTCAACATTTATCACTAACAGTATCTCCTCATCTTCTCTGTTTTGCTAAAGAAGCTTTTAACCTGTGCTCCAAGTATAGGGCAAGAGGTATGTTGAAGCCTGAATTTGATGCTCACAGCTTTAATAGAGAAATCAAAGTATACGCAAAGATCCACAGTGACTTGGGTTTTGGGTTCCAATATTAAGAGTCAGCTTCCCTTCCCACACACCAATTTTAGAGGAATAGATAGGAGTGATTCATTCTTAGTGGGAAATAGGAAAGAAATGCTAACCTTTTTTTTTTTTTTAAGATTTTATGTACTTATTTGAAAGGCAGAGTTACAGAGAAGAGGCAGAGAGACAGAGACAGAGACAGGTGTCGGTCTTCCATCCTCTGGTTCACTTCCCAAGATGGATGCAATGGTCAGAGCTGCACCAGGAGCCAGGAACAACTTCTGGATCTCCCATGCAGGTGCAGGGGCCCAAGGACTTGGGCTGTCCTCTACTGCTTTCCCAGGCCATAGCAGAGAGCTGGATCGGAAGTGGAGCAGCCGGGACTCGAACCAGTGCCCACGTGGGATGCTCACACTGCAGGCAGCGGCTTTACCTGCGTGCCACAGTGCCGGCTCCGAGAAACGCTAACTCTTCTAAAACTTGAGTTCTAGAAAAGATTCTGCTTGAGAGTTCTCACTGCTGACCCTCCTACCCCTGTGCCCTGCCCTCCCCTCTGTGATCTGTGTTTTGGCATGGATGATGTTTCTGCTTTGGTGCCAAATGAAATTTAGAAGGAATTGGGCACCTCAGTCCTTGCTTGTGATCAGCAGTGGCCCATCTCTACATGAAATACCCTCATTGATAAACTATTTTGAAGGGAGTGAATTTTATTTTTCTTCAGAAGAGTGAGCACTGTGCTGTTTTGCAGCCATCTGAGTAGTCTTTTTTCCCATCTTACTACTATACATACTTTCCTAAGGACAGTCTTCAGGTGCTGTATTAGGTTCAAGTGATAGGGCACCCTCACTGGTCTGGCATCAGGTGATGGTGTCGGTGCTGGCAGAGTCTGAGGAGACGCAGAGCACCCTGTGTTAAGAGAGGACACACAACTGTGGCTGTGTAGTCTCTTAGGAAGCCACCGAGATTTAATTGTAAGGGTTCCCCTGTAACGACCCAATCCGATCACTTCCCAATGACTGCAACAGCCAGGTCGGGCCAGGAGCCAGGAAATCCATCCTGGTCTGCCACATGGTTGCAGGGGCTCCTGTACTTACATAATGTACTTATTTATATAACACTTACACGATGCTGCCTTCCCAGGTGAATGGGCAGGGAGCTGGATTGGAAGCAGAGCAGCCAGGACTGGAACTGGTGTTCCTATATGGGATGCCAGCGTTGCAAGCTGCAGTTTAACCTGTTGTGCAAGGATGCTGCCCCCAGACACCATAATTGGTTCAAGTTTCTGCCGTCTTAGTGTCATTAACATAAGCCTTTGAGATCAAACCTGTAGCACATGGGCCCTTGGGGGACACTCAGCATCCAGACTGACATCTAGGTCGGGTCACAGCATGTGTAGACCTTTTTTTTATTTTTTTTATTTTTTTTTTTTTTGACAGGCAGAGTGGACAGTGAGAGACAGAAAGGTCTTCCTTTTTCTCTTGGTTTACCCCCCAGTGGAGGCTGTGGCCGGCGCACCGCACTGATCCGAAGCCAGGAGCCAGGTGCTTCTCCTGGTCTCCCATGGGGTGCAGGGCCCCAAGACTTGGGCCATCCTCCACTGCACTCCCAGGCCACAGCAGAGAGCTGGACTGGAAAAGGGGCAACTGGGACAGAATCTGGCGCCCTGACCGGGACTAGAACCTGGGGTGCTGGCACTGCAGGCGGAGGATTAGCCTAGTGAGCCATGGCGCTGGCCAATATAGACCTTTAATTGTGTGTAGCCGACTCCAGAAAACTGTTTCTCACGTGCTTTTGTGGCACAGGCTGTAAACTGAAGAGGTCTGTCAGGATGTGGTGAGCAGCCAAGGTTGTTACTTAAAACGTTTTTTTGGTGAAGTTTCCAGGTTCATTTTCCAATGAGTTTGAAGTTTGACATTACATGGCTTCAGTGTAAAATGAAATCTTAACACCTTTCATTGTGACTTCCTGGCTAGGTGAAAAGTTGCGAGTCCTTGGCTACAACCAGAACGGCGAGTGGAGTGAAGTCCGCTCTAAGAATGGACAGGGCTGGGTTCCCAGCAACTACATCACCCCCGTGAACAGCTTGGAGAAGCATTCCTGGTACCATGGCCCCGTGTCCCGCAGCGCGGCCGAGTACCTCCTTAGCAGCCTCATCAACGGCAGCTTCCTGGTGCGGGAAAGCGAGAGCAGCCCCGGGCAGCTGTCCATCTCGCTCCGGTACGAGGGCCGCGTGTATCACTACAGGATCAACACCGCCACCGACGGCAAGGTAAGGCCGCCCGGAGCCACCTCTGGGCGTGCTCGGAATGACCAGAGTGGGAGTAGGTCTTCTTAGCTGACGTGGCTGACTTCGTGAGTGTAGCTGTTAGGCACGTTAGACAAACCTTACTCTTCTCGAAAGAAGATGGTAATGGAAAGGAAAAGCGGAATTATGTTAGTAGTTTAATGATAAGCTGAATTTGAAGGTTAAAAATGATAGGAACTATAGGAGCCACTGTAAGTGAGCTCTTCAGTCATCAGTTCACAAATAGAACCCGATGCAGCCATCCCCTAATTTCATGGGCGTTTATTTCAGGACCCTCTGTAGATGCCTAAAGCTGCAGGTAGCGCCACAACCTGTGTATTCTGTGTTTTTTCCTGTGTATGTATACCTATGTATGCATACCTATGATAAAGCTTAACGTATAAATCATATATACTAGAGACTAACAACAATAACATAGTAAAATATAAAAACAATTATAGCAACATAATGAGTTACATTTCTTAGAATATCTGTTATTTTTAAAGATTTATTTATTGGGCTGGCGCTTTAGCATAATAGGTTAAGCATCTGCCTGTCGTGCCGGCATCTCTTATGGGCGCTGGTTTGAGTCTTGGCTGCTCCATTTCCAATTCAGCTTCCTGCTGATGGCATGGGAAAGCAATAGAAGATGGCTCAAGTGCTTGGGCCCCTGCACCCATGTGGGAAGCCCAGAAGAATCTCCTGGCTCCTGGCTTTGGATCAGCTCAGCTTCAGCTGTTGAGGCCATTTGGGGAGTGTCAGTAGACCTCTCTCTCTCTGTCTCTCTGTAAAGATGCCTCTCAAATAAATAAATTAATTTTAAAAAAGATGTATTGATTTGAAAGACAGAGTTAGAGGGAGGGAGAAAGAGAGAGAGAGATCTTCCCATCTGCCAGTTCACTCCCCAAGTGGCCACATCGGCCAGGGCTGGGCAAGGCAGAAGCCAAGAGCCTGGAATTTCACCTGGGTCTCCCACATGGGTGCAGGGGCCCAAACATTTGGGCCATCTTCTGCTGCTTTCCAAGGTGCATTAGCAGGGAGCTGGCTATGAAGTGGAGTGGCCTGGACTTGAACCGGTGCTCATGGGACGCTGGTGTCACAGGCAGCAGCTTACCTGCTGTTCCACAACACCGGCCCCTCTCAGAATATCTTCCTGTGCTGACCAAGGGTAACTGAAACGGAGGCGTGTAAACATGGATAAGGGAGGGCACTGTAGGTTCCTGCAGAATGAATTTACAGTAGTCATTCAGCAGTCTGCGTGTTGAGAAGACCAGCTGTGTAATAATGAAACTTTTGTTGTACTTCATAAACTATAAACCATGGCCAGGTCAGTTGTTCTCTTACTGAACAGTGTAAATTTAGGTGGAATCGTTTCTTTGATTATTTTCCTCTATGTGGTATGCATAGTAGGGAGAAGCAGAGGCTTTGGAGCAGGTGGACCTGGTTTGCTTTGTTACTGCACCATTTATTAGCAACTTTAAATAAGCACCAATTTCCCAGTCCGTCAATAAATCCCACTTTTTCTTATTGTAAAGATTAAAGGAAATTTTTTTAAAAAAACACAATGAGTAGTGCAAAGTCAGAAATGATTATTAATGCTCTTTCTCTTTTGTACCACCATCCACCATCCGTAGTATGTTCTCTCTTCACCAAACCAAATAAAACCATAATGTAAGAGAGACCCAGCAGAAGTGAATGCTTGTATGGGCCAGAAGACACCTAAGGAATGTTCCTAGTGGCATTATTCGTGGTAGCTCAAAACTGCAAACAGCTGAATACCTACCAGTAGACTAGATTAATAAATTCTAAGATGCTCATAAAATGGAATCCCATACAGCAAGAGGTACACATAGTCCTGCCACATACAGCAGTCAGGGCTAGCCATGACCGTCCAGCTGCCCTATTTGTGCATAGAGCTCTACTGGAACCCAGCCCACACCATTGGTTTATGTATGGTCATGGTTATTTCCATCGCTGGACAGTGAGGAGCACTTGCAACAGAGACCCTCCGACCACAAGCCTTAAATGTTTGTAACCTGGCCCTTTACAAATAGTGTGTTGGCCACTGGCCTAAATGAGCCTCACACACAAGTTGGAGAGAGTGATGATTGCCAGGGGGTGGGATGGAGGAGTGGGACTACTGCTGATGGGTGTGGCGTTCCTTTTTGGGATGATGAAAATGTTCTGGAGTTGGGTAATGGTGACGGTTGGATAGTTGTGAATAACCCAGAAGAAAAATTACTTGAGTTGTACATACTAAGATGGTGACTTTGACATGATGTGGATTATATTACAGTGAAAATAAGTTGAATGCAAGAAAGCAGACACACAACAGTACACATTAAATGACTTTATCTGTGTAGCTCAGATACAGGTGAAGGTAATCAAAGGAGTTAGAAGTCCGCATGGTGGTTCCAGGAGGCCGGGCCCTGCTTGCCCTCTTTAATCGGAGCATTTCTTCCTTCATCTCCTCATATACCAGGTCCCACGGTCTGTCTTGGTGCTTAGAAGTATTTGGAGGTCAGTGAGCTTGGTGATCCAGAGAACTGTCTTGGAGGATTTGCCCAAAGACCGTACTAATTTAGGGGAGAAGAGGAAGATTGGGTCAACTCGTTCATTGCCTCGGTCAGGGTGGCTTCCGATCTTTGTGTCTTGAGGCCAGTGCAGCATGGGCTGAAGACCAGGCCCTTGTCTCCCGACAAGTGGGTTAGCGTGTCTCCTTTGCCCGCCAGGTGTACGTGACTGCGGAGAGCCGCTTCAGCACGCTGGCAGAGCTCGTCCACCACCACTCCACAGTGGCCGACGGGCTGGTGACCACCCTGCACTACCCAGCACCCAAGTGTAATAAGCCTACGGTCTACGGCGTGTCCCCCATCCACGACAAGTGGGAGATGGAAAGAACAGACATCACCATGAAGCACAAACTTGGGGGTGGGCAGTACGGAGAGGTTTACGTTGGCGTCTGGAAGAAATACAGCCTGACGGTTGCCGTGAAGACGTTGAAGGTGGGTTGCGCAGGATTACAGTGCTCAGCGGCCTTCTCCTGTGTGCCCAGTCACTTGAATATCAGCGTGCCCTTCTTGAGCTCGGGAACACTTTCCACCCGCTGGTGCCAAGCACTTTAGCAAATTGCAGTGATTAACCCTGGTGCCATTGCTGACAGTGCAAGGGAGATTATTCACTGCAAGGCTGGGAAACCCACGGGTGGGGAAGATTGCTCCCTGGAGGCTGTTAACGCAGACCTTCCTTGTAGGAGGTTAGAAGCAAATTAGAGCTTAGGAAAGCTAAACAAGCTGTTTGCCTCCGAGAGCAACCCCTGCGGGACAGAATTCTCCATCCGTGCTCCTAGAATCCTGGGGCTCGCTCTCGCTCTGTCCTTGGTGTTCTTGCTTCTCCCCTCTCCACTTGTTCTTCCTCTGCTCCCGCTCTCTTCTCTCGGCCTGCTGGAGTAAACAGAGGGTTGCCAGCCACCCTCAGTTCTCGGCAGTCTCCCAGAGCCCAGGAGCTCTGCTACATCAGTCCTGAACGTCCGTCCTGCCTAGTTACCAAGTGTATTGTGAGGGTGGAACGGGACAGCGCCGCTCCAGCAGCTCGTCATCTCCTCGGGCAGATGGACATGTAGCAGGGAACTGTGCTGTCTCCTGTCTGAAGGCTGACGGAGCCAGAGGAGAGACCACCAGAGGACCCAGCCGTCCAGCCTGAGTCCCAGGCATGTTTCAGTCGGTTACAGGACACGACTGCTGGGTGTACTGCGGTTTCCAGCAGATGAGTGAGTTCAAGGACAGTTTCTTTGACTTCTGTAGAGCACATTAGGTTGTGATAAAATTCCTCAGAGTAACGAACTGCGGTGCTCCACGGACTTGGAGAGTTGATGTTTCAGGCGTGTGATGACGGTGGCGTCGGCCCCTCTGCTTTTCTTCCCCTCACCCACCTTTCCCGTCCTTTTTCCAGGAGGACACCATGGAGGTGGAGGAGTTCCTGAAAGAAGCTGCAGTCATGAAGGAAATCAAGCACCCTAATCTGGTACAGCTGTTAGGTGAGGAGGTCAGGCACCCTAATCTGGGACAGCTGTTAGGTGAGGAGGTCAGGCACCCTAATCTGGGACAGCTGTTAGGTGAGGAGGTCAGGCACCCTAATCTGGGACAGCTGTTAGGTGAGGAGGTCAGGCACCCTAATCTGGTACAGCTGTTAGGTGAGGAGGTCAGGCACCCTAATCTGGGACAGCTGTTAGGTGAGGAGGTCAGGCACCCTAATCTGGGACAGCTGTTAGGTGAGGAGGTCAGGCACCCTAATCTGGGACAGCTGTTAGGTGAGGAGGTCAGGCACCCTAATCTGGGACAGCTGTTAGGTGAGGAGGTCAGGCACCCTAATCTGGGACAGCTGTTAGGTGAGGAGGTCAGGCACCCTAATCTGGGATAGCTGTTAGGTGAGGAGGTCAGACACCCTAATCTGGGACAGCTGTTAGGTGAGGCAGTCAGGCACCCTAATCTGGGACAGCTGTTAGGTGAGGAGGTCAGGCACCCTAATCTGGGACTGCCCCAGCGGTGCTTGCCACCCACCGCCTTGCTATCACCGGATCTTTCTTTAGAATCACCATGGCGGAACCTCCAAGTGCGCATCCACTTCAATAAATGGTGCTTTTAATGAGCAAGATCTTTTAATGAGCAAGATCTGTATTTAAGGATTACTCAGGATACAGCGGCCTGATTTGATTTCATTACATAAAATTGTTCAGCTTGCGGTAGTTTCTCCAGATTCGAAGTTCAGAACCTTCAGAGTGGTACCGGGCCCAAGGCTGTCTTGAAAAACTGTCGCAAGATAAAGAAATACTGAGTAGTCTGTGACTAAGCCCTTCAGTGGCAAACCTGTACAAGCAGGAAGTGCCCGGCTGTGCTACATTGGTTTTTCACCTGTTCGGACTGCAAAGAAACTTTGGATTAAGTTCTTTTCCCCTTTTAAAAATGGGGCGATTTCTTTGGATGCACAAATGGAACCAAACTACCCCAAAGGAAATAGCTTCTTACTGACCCTCCATGGGAATTTGCTGTCTGTCAGTGAAATCCTTGAGTCTGGAGGCTGCTGAAGTCTTCACAAAGCATTGTTGCAGGTGGAGCTCACGTAGTCTTCAACATTGCACAAATGCTTTTACTTCCAGATGGGCGCTTTAGCATGGGATTGAGGAGAACCTCCGCATGGACAGAATTTGCTTTCTGGGGCAGGCGTTTGGTAGGCTGGTTAAGATGCCACTCGCGATGTCCATATCCCATGTCGGAGTGCCTGGGTTTGAGTCCTGTCTCCACTGCAGGTTCCATCTTCCTGCTAATGGGCGTGCTGGGAGGCGTAGTCGATGGCCCAAGTACTGTGTGTGCCACCACATGGGAGGAGCTGCTGGAGTTCCCAGGTCCTGGCTTCAGCCTTGCCCAGTGGGCATTTTGGGGGCAGAGGAGGGTGAGCCAACAGAGGGAAGATCTCCCTGTCTATATATCTCTGTCTTTCTGCCTTTGATGTAGAAGTTAATTAATTATTTATGGTCGTCTTAGCCCCTTATGGAGTTAATACAAGTAAATCCACTTCTGCCCAAACAGGCAAATACTCAAAGGCATACGAATTTCCAGAGAACAGCGTAGCGAAGCAGAGACTCCCTTCTCAGTTTTCTTTATTTCTTCCTCTCTCCCCCCGTCCTTCTCCTCTCCTCTGTTTTTCCTTTTCTTTTCAAGAAAGGCTGGGAGCCAGAGATCTTCCATCCATTGGTTCACTCCTCAGATGTCTGCAACCGCTGGGGCTGAGTCAGGAATCTGCCTCCCAGGGTACATCTTAGCAGGAAACTGGAATCAAGAGCAGAGCTGGGACTTGCACCCAGGCTCTCCAGTGTGGAATGCAGACACCCCAAGAGGTGTCTCCACCACAGGTCAGGTGCCTGCCCTGAGCCAACGTCCTGAATTTTGCTGTATTAATTGCAGAAAATGAGGTGCTAAGAAGGGGAAAGATTTCACCAAGCTGGTGAGCAAACAACAGAACTATGAAATGGATTGTTCTGCGTACGCGCTAGTAAGACGAGCTCTGTTCTCCAATGCCAGGCGTGTGCACCCTGGAGCCGCCCTTTTACATTGTGACCGAGTACATGCCGTACGGGAACTTGCTCGATTACCTCCGGGAGTGCAGCCGTGAGGAGGTGACGGCCGTGGTGCTGCTCTACATGGCCACGCAGATCTCTTCTGCCATGGAGTATTTAGAGAAGAAGAATTTCATCCATCGGTGCGTACAGCCTGCGTGCTGCCCGTGATGAGGAGATGAAGGAGCAGAGACCCTTCCGGGAGTTCTCAGATGAATCCAGGCAGTAATTACGTCTTTGAGGAGGCCCGTGATGTCCTTTCCAACCTGCAGTCCCACTGCTCTCTGATCAAAGTGCCGTGCTGAGCCTTTGTCAAAACAAAGGGTTTCTATTGCGCAGCACCAAGGCCCTTTTGCTCCCTCTAGTGGCTGAATTGTAAGGTAGCTTTCTGTTTCGATGAAGGACCTAAAACCTTAAAGAAAAGCAGCTGTCGCTCACCTCTGACACCTGTCCCAGCTTCTTGTCACCTGGAACCCATTTCACAAAGTCCCTTTACTTCAGAACCTGCTTAACTGCCTGTCACTGAGTACTCTGAGATGTGTAGTCAGTGACTTTGTGCCATGTTAGTGATTGTCAGCACTTAGCAGCTCTTGTAGCACAAGAGAATAAAGCGTTTGTGACCACTTTGCTCACCATTTGAATGGAATCACATCAGGGTTCTCTATCCCACAGAGATCTTGCAGCTCGGAACTGCCTAGTGGGAGAAAACCACGTGGTAAAAGTGGCCGACTTTGGCTTGAGTAGACTGATGACTGGAGACACCTATACTGCTCATGCCGGAGCCAAGTTCCCTATCAAGTGGACAGCACCAGAGAGTCTTGCCTACAACACCTTCTCAATTAAGTCTGACGTGTGGGGTAAGCTTGCAACACCCACTTTCCTGCTTGTGCCGCTTTTCTTCATTATAAATGCTCTCGATCCCTTAGAGTCTTTTTTATGTGATACTCAGAATTCTCCGCCTGGTCTCCCCCTTCTTGCATCCCTCCTGTCTGCCAAGCACTGTGTGAGGAACTTAGTGCAGGAAGAAGCATAAAGAAAAGGTTTACAGGGGAAGTCCCTGCCTTCAGAGAGGTCACAGCCGTCCAGGTGTTCCCTGTCGTGAAGCTGTGACCCCCTCTCTCTCTGCCTTCCACCTTGGGCTTCGTCACGCTCCCGCAGCTCGGGGATACAGGGCCCCCTCTCCACCTGCATTTTTCCTTGTAGCAGAGCTGCTTTCTGGCAGCCTGAAGGGCAGCGAGACTTTGTAGGGAGGTCTGCACTGTGAGCCGACCGAAGTGGCTGTAGCATTCCGAGTCATTTTATCCAGCAGACTCTTAGAGTGTGACAACATTGAGCAAATTCTTTTTTCTGTTGTAGATTTTATCAGATTTTATGTATTTATTTATTTCAGAGGCAGAGAGAGAAAGCTCCCATGTGCTGGTTCAGCAAGGGCTAAGACAAGGTTGGGCCAAAACTGGGAGCTGGGAATTCAACCCAGGCCGCCTATGTGGTGGCGGAACCCAAGCTCTTGAGCTATCAGTGTGGCTCTCCAGTGTCTGCAGTAGCAGGAAACTGTAGTTAGGAACTAGAACTAGATACCAAACCCAGGCATTCGTGTAAGGCAGTGGGCATCTCAACCTGTGTCGTAACTACTGGGTTAAATGCCTGCCCCTTAGGAGCGTTCAGATGGATCTTTTAATTTCAGTCCTCTGATATTAGCCGACTGGAAAATTGTGAAACAAAGTAGGCATGTCAGACACAGTTCTGAGAATAGCTGGATTCTGCCCCCTCACTTCTTACATGGTTATAATTTGTTGTCCCTCATTGGAATTTTAAAGGGTATGGAAATAAAAATTGTTAGCTTGATATATTTTTAAAAGATTAATTTCTTTATTTGGAAGGCAAAGAGAGAGAGGGAGAGAGAGGGAGAGAGATCCTCTCTCTGCTGGTTTACTCCTCAGTGTCTGGGTCTGGGTCTGGACCAGGCTGAAGCCAGGGGCCTGGAGCTATCCTGGTTTCCCACAGGGGTGGCAGGAACCAAGTATTTGGGCCATCTGCTGCTGCTTTCCCAGGTGCACTTCTAGGGAGCTGGATCAGAAACGAACAGCCGGGGCTCAAAGCAGCACTGTCACAGGCGGCAGCTCCACCTGATGCACCACAACTCCGGCCCAGGAATGGGAATTTCAAAGAAAACTGTTCTGAGAATTATCTGCAGTATTCTGGGAGCAGATACCTTCTAGGACAAGTGAGACTGTAAGAACTGGGAAAAGGATATATTAGTGTTGTAATAGTGGATAAACATTACAAGTTAAGAGAGAGATTAGCTCATAACAGAAGTAGTAAATCAGAAGTAATATTACAGGGTTGGCACTGTGGTATAGCCGGTAAAGCCCCAGCCTGTAGAGCCAGCATCCTTTGTGGACACCAGTTCAAGTCCCGGCTGCTCCACTTCCGATCCAGCTCTCTGCTATGGCCTGAGAAAGCAGTAGAAGATGGCTCAAGTCCTTGGGCCTCTGCACCCACGTGGGAGATCCGGAGGAGGCTCCTGGCTCCTGGCTCCTGGCTTCAGATCAGCCGTTCTGGCCGTAGTGGCCAACTGAGGAGTGAACCAGCTGATGGAAGATCTCCCAACTGAGGAGTGAACCAGCTGATGGAAGATCTCTCTCTCTCTCTCTCTCTCTGCCTCTCCTTTTCTCTCTTTGTAACTCTGCCTTTCAAATAAAATAAATAAATCTTTTTAAAAAAAATTGTAATTCTATAAAAAAGAAGAAGTAATACTACTTTTTTAAATCCCCTTTGCAGCTTTTGGGGTACTGTTATGGGAAATTGCTACATATGGAATGTCACCATATCCAGGTATTGACCTGTCCCAGGTCTATGATCTGCTGGAAAAAGGATATCGAATGGAGCAACCTGAGGGGTGCCCCCCGAAGGTTTACGAGCTGATGAGAGCATGTGAGTATGTTGAGGGGTTTTAGTTTTGAAAGTTAGCCCATGGCCCAGTAGTGACCCAGTGGTTCAGAAACACTTGAGTATTTGATAGGATAGGAAGGAATTGGGTGTGGAGGTCAGATGGGCTGGGGGTGGGGTGGGGGGTTGCTTCCAAGTGGACGGGGAGGTGATCACTAGACTGGCGAGTGCGTGACAGCAACCTTGTGGCGAGGAGACACGCGTGTCTGCTTGAAGGTGGAGGCGGGTGATGAGTTGCAGGTGTGTTTGTCACGCCTAATGTTATTTTCTCTCTTGCCTTCGTCAAATATGGACTTTGGCCTCCTCTTCTATGATACGCTGATGTGTTTTTAACTGAGTTTAAGGTTTGGCTGCTTTAGTTTTTCCAGTGGCAGAAAACTTGACGTTTTTCTAAGCCATTGTCCCACCTCTCATCATCCTCACAGTAGGGAAGCGGCGCTGAGGCTAAATAGAAATGGGTTCATTGCAGAGTCTGGAGCTGGGAAGCAGCTGTGTTCCCGCCCCCATGAACACGCTGCGGCTCGAATAAGCACACGGCGCATGGGGCTCAGCGATGGGGCGACACGGGGTCGTAGTTCCTGCCAGGGCTCCTCACGGCTGCTTCTGTTCCTCAGGCTGGAAGTGGAGCCCTGCCGACAGGCCCTCTTTTGCGGAAACACATCAAGCTTTTGAAACCATGTTCCATGACTCGAGCATTTCCGAAGGTGAGAGCCGGTGGATTTGCTGTTCGTCGGTGACAGGTTCCATGTCGGTGACGGTGATGAATCTCACTCCTATTACAGAAGTCAGCAGCTCCTGTAGCTTGTGACTGTTTCGGTGACTCTGTTTCGTTGACTTTGGGCTTTGATTATTCTTGTATTGCTTTCTTTCAGTGTGTTTAGCTCTCATATGTTTACTATCAAAATTACATTTTTACTAGAAATTGATTTCGTCTTCTTATAAAGTTAATAAGTCTGTAGTTACTGAAGCCTGAACACTTATTCTGTAGGAAAGAAAAGGAAATATTCTAACTCCACATCTACAAAGACAGAACTGAGTCATAAAAGTAATGTCCAGAAATTCCATTTCTAAAAATAGAGCCTAAGGAAACAAGTAAAAAAAATAAAGACTTAGCTGCAAGAATGGGAGAGGGAGGAGGAGGAGGAGGGATTGGAGGTGTCACTGTGTTCAGATCTGTATATATGAAATACATGAAACTTACATAACTTAAATAAAATTGAAAAAGAACGATACAATACAATGGGGCAGGCATTTGGTGCAGCAGCTCCCGTGCCACTCGGAATGCTTGCATCCCCTATCAGAATGCCTGAGTTCCAGTCCCACTTCCTCCACTTCTGATCCAGCTTCATGCTCATTCACACCCAAGTACTGGGCCCTGCTTTTGTGCAGGAGACCTGGATTGAGCCCCAGCCTGCTGGCACTGGCTGGGCCCTGCCCTGGCTATTGCAGGCATTTGTGGAAATAGTGAATGACAGATCTGCGTCTCTCCCTGTCACTCTGCTTTTCAAATAAATCTTAAAAAAAAAAAATACATGGGCGAATAGATTGTAATACTGAAAAATTAAGAACAACTTAAATATCTAGAAGACTATTAATTGTTAGGTCCATGTAATTAAATATTTAAAATGATATTCTGGGGCAGGTGTTTGGCACAGTAGCTAAGGCCCTGCTTGGGATCCCTGCTTCCCACATTGATATGCCTGGGTTTTAGTCCCAGCTCTGCTTCCAATCCAGCTTCCTACTAATGCATCCTGGGAGGCAGAAGGTGATGACTTGAGTACTTGGGACTCTGCCATGCACATGGGAGACCTGGATGGAGTTCCCAGCTCCTGGGTCTGGGCTGGCCCTGGCCCAGCCCCAGCCGTTATGGATATATGGGGAATGGACCAGCAGAGGGAAGATCTCTGTCTCTCTCTCTGACTTTCAAAAAAAAATGAATAATAAAAAAATTTAAAAAGAAGCAACTCAGTTGAACCACAAACTCCAAACTAGACCTCTGACCCAGCCAACCAGGCATGCATGGATCCCTTGAGTTCATGGTGCCGTCTGTCACTTCTTCCAGACTCTGATGCTAGCAAAGGATTCACACTTCTTTTTCCTCCTCCCCTCCCCTTCATTGTCCAGTACAGAACACCCTGGCTCTTAGTTGCTATTACGTTCTAAGTACATCTTCAGCCCTGCTGTTGCAAGTATATGTGGAGTGAGCCATTTCATCCGAGATCTCCGTGTCCCTCTGCCTTTCAGATAATCATGAGATACTGTGACATGTCTACCAGAATGGTTAAATTTAAAATCAGATGGAAAAAGGTGGTTTTCTAAACACTGCTAGTAGGAGTGTAAATTGGTGCAGTTTGGCAGGACCCAGTAAGGCTGAACAGACACATACCTGACGGTCCCCCAGGCCCACACCAGGCAGACAGGCGAACCACGACAGACGCAGCCAGACGAGAGGGCGTAGCGTGTGATTCTGTGGGTGTGTGTGTGTGTGTGTGTGTGTGTGTGATTCTGGGGGGTGGGGGTGGGGTGAATCTGTGTGTGGGTGGGTGTGTGAATCTGTGGGTGTGTGGGTGGGCGGGCCTGTAAGTATGTGGGGGTGGGGGGGTGTGATTGTGTGGGTGTGTGGTTCTGTATGTGTGGGGTGGGTGTGTGATTATGTGGGTGGGTGGGTTTGTGATTGTGTGTGGGGCATGTGATTCTATGGATGAGTGGGTGGGTGAGTGATTGGGTGGGTGTGTGAATCTGTGGGTGTGTGGGTGGATGGGCTTGTAATTCTGGGGGGGGTGTGGTTGTGTGGGTATGTGAATCTGTGTGTGTGGTGTGTGTGGGTGTGATCCTGGGTGGGTGTGTGTGTGTGCATGCACCTTTTCAGAAATGGAAAACTCCGTTCCTGTCGATGAAGTTGTTCTTAGTGGCCCCTGTCCTTCCTCACAGAGGTGGCCGAGGAGCTGGGGAGAGCCGCCTCCTCGTCGTCTGTTGTTCCCTACCTGCCCCGATTACCCATCCTTCCTTCCAAGACGCGGACGCTGAAGAAGCAGGCGGAGAACAAGGAGAACATCGAAGGGGCCCCAGATGCCACCGAGAGTCCTGCTTCCAATTCAGCACCAGGTAAGGGGCCCTGGGCAGACAGAATCAAAGTGGAAGCTGCCTTGCTTAAAGAACCATGGGGTAGGATGGACCTGTGCCCGTTTTGCTGCCCGCCTTGGTGAGGAAAGGATGGCGTCTGTTTTACCAGCCACCCAAGTCCTTGGTTCTGTGTTGCTAGGTCAGCGGTCCTGATCTCTCTGCCTCCTGCTCCATACCCCTGGTCCCTGGTTCATATTTTCCTGAGCATCCCGCCAACACCTGACATTTCATCACTGCTCACAAAACTCTTAACAGCTCAGCCATGGGAACTCTAATGGCCGCGCTGCTTGTCTTTGACATGACTGATTGGCTGTTTCTCATCAGGGTTCATTAGAAGTGCACAGCCGTCCAGTGGGTCCCCAGCACTGCCTCGAAAGCAAAGAGACAAGTCACCCAGCAGCCTCTTGGAAGACGCCAAAGAGACGTGCTTCACCAGGGACAGGAAGGGCGGCTTCTTCAGCTCCTTCATGAGAAAGAGAAACGCTCCCACACCCCCTAAGCGCAGCAGCTCCTTCCGCGAAATGGAGAATCAGCCCCAAAAGAAATACGAACTTGCGGGTAACTTCTCATCTGTTGCTTCTCTCCAGCATGCTGATGGGTTGTCTCTCACTCCTGCCCAGCAAGAGGCGAACCTGGTGCCACCCAAGTGCTGTGGGGGGAGCTTTGCACAGAGGAACCTCTGTAATGACGACGGTGGGGGTGGTGGGGGCAGTGGCACGGCTGGGGGTGGGTGGTCTGGCATCACAGGCTTCTTTACACCGCGCTTAATCAAAAAGACACTGGGCTTACGAGCAGGGAAACCCGCAGCCAGTGATGACACTCCCAAGCCTTTCCCAAGGTCAAACTCTACGTCTTCCATGTCCTCAGGGCTTCCAGAGCAGGATAGGATGGCAATGACCCTTCCCAGGAACTGCCAGAGGTCCAAACTCCAGCTGGAAAGGACAGTGTCCACCTCTTCTCAGCCTGAGGAGAATGTGGACAGGGCCAGTGACACGCTTCCAAAAAAGCCAGAGGAAGGTGCCGCTCCACCCAGGGAGAGACCCAAAGCCAAGCTCTTGCCCAGAGGAGCCACAGCTCTTCCTCTCAGAACCCCCCCTGGGGATCCAGCCATGACAGAGAAGGACTCTGCAGGGGTGGGGGCAGCTGCCACGCCAGCTGCCCCCAAGGGCAAGGAGAGGAATGGTGGGGCACGACTTGGGATGGCTGGAGTCCCCGAGGACGGAGAGCAGCCAGGCTGGGCCTCCCCAGCCAAGGCAGCGTCTGTCCTCCCAACCACCCACAACCACAAAGTGCCAGTCCTTATCTCACCCACTCTGAAACACACTCCAGCTGACGTGCAGCTCATTGGCACAGACTCTCAGGGGAATAAGTTCAAGCTCTTATCTGAACATCAGGTCACGTCCTCTGGAGACAAGGACCGACCCCGACGGGTAAAACCAAAGTGTGCCCCACCCCCTCCACCAGTGATGAGACTACTGCAACATCCGTCCGCCTGCTCAGACCCTGCAGAAGAGCCGCCTGCCCCCAGTGCAGGACAGCCCACGTCCGAAACACAGGAAGGAGGAAAAAAGGCAGCTCCAGGGGCAGTGCCCATCAGTGGGAAAGCTGGGAGGCCAGCGGTGCCTCCGCCTCAAGTGCCTCCACCCGCATCCTCCATCTCGCCAGCCAAACTGGCCAACGGCACAGCAGGTACGAAAGTGGCTCTGAGGAGAACCAAACAGGCAGCTGAGAAGATCTCGGCCGACAAAATCAGCAAAGAGGCCCTGCTGGAATGTGCTGACCTACTGTCCAGTGCGATCACGGAGCCCGTGCCCAACAGCCAGCTGGTGGACACAGGGCACCAGCTGCTCGACTACTGCTCAGGCTACGTGGACTGCATCCCTCAGACTCGCAACAAGTTTGCCTTCCGAGAGGCCGTGAGCAAGCTGGAGCTGAGCCTGCAGGAGCTGCAGGTGTCGTCAGCAGCGGCCGGCGTGCCCGGGACAAACCCCGTCCTCAATAACTTACTGTCGTGTGTGCAGGAAATCAGTGATGTGGTGCAGAGGTAGCCACTGGCATCCTGGCGGGAAAGTGCACACGTTTCTGAGGGGAGGGAAGGGACTTGTTTTCCTGTGTTCTTGTTTTCAGCATATGAAAGACTGATACTTGAGTGTGATTATGTGAAGTACCTCAGATCCCTGAGCTCTCACGTTTACAGGTTCATCTCAAAACAACACAAAGCAAGCCACGCAAGTGCAGGAGCGGGAGGTTGGACGGGGGCAGGTGGTGGTGGAGACTGCACTGGAACATCTGGGGTGGGTGGGCGTGTGTCCTGAGGGAGGAAAGCAGGGCTGCCTGTCTCGGTCGGGAGCGCCGGGAGGTGCTGGCCGGGGCGGCGTCAGCGTTGGCGTCGGCGTTGGCGTTGGCGTCAGCGTCAGCAGGGCTGCAGGGGCTGTGTGTCCAGGTGGAGGAGTGGCAGGGCGCTTGCTCTGCACCACAGAGAAGGGAATTGACCTGGGGCTGTGGTGGGTGCCAGTGGTGATTCTGTGTGCTTCACCTGGCGAATCTGGGGACAGAAGACAGGAAGGCAGGGCGTGCACCAAGAGCAGTTCTGCTCAAGGCTGCTGGAAGCAAGGCTGCAGCTGCTGTCGTAGGAGCTGCAGATGGCGTTGCTGGAGTACCAAGCTGCAGAGTGTGGCTTGTCTGTGTGCTCTGCCCTCTTCCCCACCGGTGTCTTAATTGGTGCAGGAACCAGGGAGATGGAAACCTCCTCCTAAAATCTTACACTGATTAGCAGGAGTCACTTCTCCCAGTCTAATGTTATTTTCTCAGTGGACCAGGATTGCTTTCTGCTTGTTGGTGGCTATCTGTAAACCATAGGAAGAGGGGCTCCCTTGCTGGGCAGGCTGTCTTTCTTTGTTCCTGGCAGCAGTCAGGGTATTAACATTGATTTTTACAATAATGGTCACTCCAGTTCTCACAAGGCAACTCTTTTCTGATAAGGTGCCCCTGCATGCTGAGCTACTAGCCGAGGACCTGAGCCGCCATTTCCTTGTTGCTTAGATACCGGGGGGTGATCTCTTCTTCAAATCCAGTGGCCAGACTCAGAGGCCTGTGACAGAAGAAGCTGGCTTGGTCGTAGTGGCCGTTCCTCTGTCCTGTACCCCTCCTACGTCGCTTGCCCAGACTCTGCAGAGAGCAGCGTGCATGGCCCCTGGTTTAGTCCCACATGCTTTTCTCCCCTCCCACCTCGCAATCATTGTCCTTGTTTGGGCAGATCTTATTGGGGATATTCTTCCTTTATTTTGTCATTTCACCTCTTTTATGAGTGCATAATTGAAGGAGTAGGTCGAGAAGTACCAGTTAGACCCTGGAGGCCTAATGACTTAACCCTACAGTGTGTTCTGTCCTTGAAAAGTAGCTCTCTTCCTTCCCTGCGCACTTGTAATTATGGAACGTGGAACTGAAGCAGATGGACTGGTATTTTCAGTGTTCTTGGTGGAGCTCTAGTCCCAGTGATGGCTTCATCCTCTTTTGGAAGCTTTATGAACACTTCTGTGCTTCCCCAAGGAGGAGCCCGTGCGTTTTCCTTATCTAATCTTTCCTCTCTTAGGAAGATAGGAATTCAGAATTAGGCGCTGAGTTTCCTTCCTGGCTCTGTCCCTCGGCCCCCTGAGCCCCAGTCCCAACTCTGAATCTCTTCAATGAAGGTAACAGCGCGTTCTCGAAGGTGTCTGCAAACAAGTGTATCGCTGGCCCTTTGAGAGCCTCTCTGGAAAGCTCTCTTAGTGCGGTGTTGCTCTGTTGAGTGGGGTATTTTTTTTCATTCTCTTTGCTGAGTAGCAGAGATTAGTGACATGTGTGACTGCCGAGATAATTTATATTAATCGGGCTAGAATACTAAGGGTTGGAAACGCTGTTGCCGATAGAGTGTCATCTTTGACCAAGGAGCAAATACAGTTTTCCTCAGAAAGAGAGGAAACCTTGATTTTTCTCCTAGCTACTCCAGCGGAGGCCCAGGTTAAGAGAAGGATTCCAAGGGCGTTGGTGGCAGTGGTGGGTGTTCCTGTCAGTATGTCACCTACGGCTGCCTGCAGGCACCTGGTGACCAGGTCAATCTCCTTGTCACCTGAAACAGAACTTGGATTTAAGAACCAACAGTCCTCCTCCCACCTTCCCCCCTGCCGCTCCCCCATGCCCTACACATCCATAAACTTGAACTCAGTTTTAGCAGTTAGCCTGTTAAGGGCGGGCAGGGGAAAGCTGAAACTTTAGAATATTATTATGCTGCTTTTTAAGTTTATCCGCATCATTGTGGGATGTAAGTTAAGGGATTATAATTGTTAGGGGATTTTTTTTTTTTTTTTTTTTTTTTTTTTTTTTTTTTTAAGTAAGAGCTCTGCTTTTCCTTGCGAGTTCGGAAAACAAACCTTGGAGAAACACTACTGAGTGTACTTAAGCGCCCTGGTTTTCTCACGAAGAACAGGGGTGGGAGTGGGGGTGGGGGTGGGGCTGGCTCACCTGCCGCAGGTGCTCAGGAAACTCGTAAGCCCAGCTGGTTTTTCTCAGCACTGTCAAGAGTAGCCTGGTGCTGGAGCCATGCGACTTCAGGGGTTAGGGTAAAGAGGCACCGTCAACTTGCTACAAAAGTGTGACTTAGGTCTCTCCTTTGCCTACTTGAAAAAGACCAACTGAAAACCTTAGGTGGAGTAAAAGGCTTGAATCCCAAGCAGAGACAACTGCTTCTAGAAACTGAAGATGCAGTTTGACGTTCTCAGCTCACAAGCGAGAAGTGCTCTGTGCAGGTGATTGTCCGCGGACACGCACACTGGGGGCTGCCGCAGCTCAATGGCTTTCGTGTACAGGTAAAATGATTTCACCTTGGGTTTCCTGCCTTACACTGTAGCGCTTGGTGTTGAGTATGTCTTCATTATGCTTTTGAAGTTTTTTCATAAAAGGCTTTGTGTGAAATTGAAATGTAGATTTCCAGCATGATTTTCAGAGTTGTAGCCATAAAAAAAATTTGGCCCTAAGAATTCCACTCACTGTTTTTCCAGGCGATCTTTACGTAGCGAGGTCGTCAGAGTAGAGAGCCTTTCCCAGGGTTACATTGGGGATTGTCTCACAGCTCAGTTGCAGATTGGCTAGTCAAGAGTCAGGTGTGAAACATGCACTCTGCAAAGGCCCAGCCCGTATGTCGCCTCGGAAGCTGGTGGAGCTGTGAGAGTGAAGGCTGCAGGGCAGGTAGTGGAGTAGAGTTTAGGCCCCGTCTGGAAGGCGAGTTCTTATCCTTGCTGCGTGTCCATTTCCTCCTCAGGAAACAGGGACAGCGACAGTGGCTACCTCAGGGTTGTTGTCAGGGTTCAGACACTGAGCGGAGCGCCCGGCACTCCGCGACGGTTGACTGCTGCTACTAGACCCGGACCAGGGGCTCACAGCCCAGTCCTCTAGGGCCTTTTCTGAACTGCTGAGTTAGAGGCGGCGCCTGCTGTGGTCGGCTCCTGTCTGTACCGACAGGCCTCATTGTGCCGTGCGGAAGCAGAAGCAGAGCCCGGGCACAGTCTGCCGGTCAGAGTCCGGGCTCTCTTGTGGTTTTCCGAGGATCCGTCCCGGTGCAGCAGACACCCGGTGCTGTCTGCCGGCGCTCACTGGAGAGGAGCACATGTCTTGCCCATCATCTCCGAGCCACACTAGTGCTGAGGGCTCCCGACTCCCTGTGTGTGGGCCCTTCCCACCGTCCCTACTGCCTCGTGAGAAAGCGCCCCACACAGCGGCTCAGCCTGACAATCAGCCCGCAGGGCACATGCTGGGTGCCCTCTGACCCTCAGGCTTCCCTGTTGAGTACCAGTGACCCTAGCAGAGCGAGCACCCGGAGCTCAGCAGTTGAGAAAAGCACACGCAACGCGGCAGCCTGCACTTTGTGTAAAACAGGTAATAGTAACCAGCCTAAGCTTTTACAGAACTAGTCCTACATTCCTTATTCCTACAAGAAATTTATTGTTCAGTCGTATCATTTTAATGACTATGAGGTAATGTATATGAAAGCACTTTGAGAAAGTGTCCAGTGTAATGTAACTATATGGTTGTTCACCGGTGTCTCTTTAAAAGATAAGACAGGTCATTAGCTGCTCATTGACCTAAAGGCTTTTACCTGTGGGGGAGACCCGAAAAACTCAGATACATGAACAGTCACCTCTGAAATCCATCCCATTTATAAATACAGAACTGCCAAGTGGCCGTGTGCAGGTAGAGCAGGTGCTCTGCTGAAGTTGTAGTTCAGAGCCAAGTAACTTCAGAATACTAGGGACCAACTTTTCGGCTTAATTCTGATCTTTAAAAAGTAGCAGTGGCTGCTCACCCCAGAATACAGAAGCCCTTCCAGGGACCCTGTCTCGAGGAGTGAGGCCCTCTTCCTCTGGAACAATTGTCTACTATTTGCTCAGCTCTTGGTACCCTGAATGCGAGGGAGAGCAGACTCAGGACCTGTTGATGCTGACAGTGTCTTTTTAAACCGATGTCCTGCATGGTTATTTTGGGGGGTGGGAGAGAGTGGAGCTGGCTGACTGCAGAGCTGGTGCATTTTAGGAATTACTTCTCTAGGATTTCCTACCAGTTCCAAGTAACATGGACATTTTTCATCTCTATTTTTTTTTCTAAGAGTGGTAGCTGACTTTGATTATAAAACATTCAAGAGTAAATTACATCAGGGGCCAATCTTGAATTCCAGCTGCGCTTCCTACTGATCTCTCCCACTGCCTCCGTTTCTGCTGCTGAACTCACTGCTGACTTCAGGCTGTGCCCCGTGGTTCATGGAGCTGACGGGGCTGTCTATTTCTGTTCTTGATGATCTCGGGGTCTCGTCGTCTTTGTTGCATTCATCTCCCGCTGGACGTGGGACCACGTGTGTGTCCTGAGCATCTGTCAGGAGCAGGCCTTTTTCTGTGGTTGTCTCTGCACTTGTTTCCTCTCCGCATTAGCAAACCCCAGCTGCATCTCTGTCCTAGTGTCCGTCCAGCCAGTGGCCCAGTTCCTTTCCCAACGCCTGCTTTGGTCTGGGCTGTGTGGGAGCCATTGCCGGGTGACCCCAGCTGACAAAGGCTGTCCTAGTGCTCCTGTACCTTCTATGGGACAACCGGGAGAAACTGCTACTAACTGTGGCCTCCCACGTCAGAGAGGCAGGGCCTTGGCCTGGTTCTGAGACTTCTCCCACTCTTACCAGAAAGGGGACCGGTCCTGTTTGGATAGAGTTCCAGGTTCCCAAGGACTGGCAGGCTGGCTTTGTGTGGAGAGCCGGGGTGCCTGGAGTAACCGTGGCCGTCACCTGCCCCTTCCAGCATGGCCCCAGCTCCCCTGCATGCCACTGCCTGTGGAAGGGGCCGCACCCTGCTCCAGGGCCTCCGGTCAGGTGACTGCCAGCCGCAGCACGTGTGCCCTGGGCCAGCTGCCTTTCCTGCCACCCGCCCGGGGGGGGGGGGGTCTGCACTCCCTCTGGAACATGAGCAGGATGAGAGCCTCCTGGAACCAGAGGAGGAAGTGAGCTTCCACCTGGCGTTGCCCGGGTCGGAGCGGCCGTGCTTCTGGGTGAGGGTGAAGGGGCGGGCCTTCTTGCCTCTGAGCCCACTTGGAGTGGCAGAACTCAGCCCGGAGATGTGCCTTCAAAGATGGGTTCTGGGGTCCTGCAGGGTTGATTGGCGTGATTGAACTGGAGCTGGTAGAAGTGAGCTTCACTGAGGCCCGCGGCCCCAGTCGGCAAGAATCCCGCCTCGAGGCTCCTCCCCTGCCCCAGGCTGGTTGGGCGGATGGCTGCGTGCTTTTCAGTCCGGCTCGGTGAGCTCGCACAGCTGTTTCTCTGTCCTGGGAAAAGTACGTCGTTTAAGCTCTGCATTGCTAAGCAGCGTGAACGGAGAGGCCAGCGCTGCAGACTCAGCCCGAGGTTACAGGTGGCCAGTCCAGGGGGTCTTCATGCCTGCAGGCCACCCGCGGGCAGTGCACAGCCACTACAGATCAAGAGGCTGGGCTCAGCGCTGGCCTCAGGTCACACCTTGCCCGGAACAGAATTGGGGTGCCCATGCTCTGTTCTGTGAGATTCTGCTGTTGGTTGTTGTTTGCGACCGTTGAGTCTCAGGGCCCCACATGTCACACAGAGCTACTGAGCTGCACACACAGACCCTGAGGTCTTGGAACATGCTGCTTAACCTTGGGGGCACTACAAGCGAACTGTCACGGGCAGCAGGCTCTGCGGAAGGAAACACGGGGACTTTGTACGGCCAGAAAAGGGGCTTTAACTTGTGTAACCAGGCCGTATAAACCTGACTAGGAGAAGGGCTTTGTGACTAAAAACATGTTCACACATACGGAAAGCCAATTTTAGCAGTTACAGCACAATAAAAAGAATAGGAAAGATAGATGCCAAATAAATTCTTGAATCCGAAATTATTGCAAGGCCCTGTAGAGCTTTAGGTTCATGGGTAGACAATCCCAAGTAGTGTGCACAAGTCAGAAGTGTGAGCGGTGAGAATGCGGGGGGAGGGGAGGGAAGGCGGCAGGTGGGTCCGGTGCTTCGGGCACACGAGGACCGGTAAACCAGCTTTCTGCCTGTGGTCACTGGGACCCCACTGTGAGGGATTTTCTGAGTCCTTGGACATGGCCTTGAGCGGGCTGACTGTGGTGCAGGGAAGTCTGTGTTCAGAAACCAGGCATGACGCTGATGTACTCACCACACAGCTCTCGAGGGTGTGTGTTTGCAAACCTTCACATCTTGGGTCTGTATAGGGGTGCACGCACTTGTGCCCACCAAGGGGGCAGGGAAGGAGTGAGGGGGCTACACCCACTCTTCGCCCACGCTGAAGAGAGTGGAGGCACACAGAACGAGCCACGATGCCTATCAGAACCCCGTCTGACTTGCACACCTGCACTTTGCCTTCTTTGCAATCCGGTTCTATAGTGACTATCAGAAGAGAAGCCCCTGTTGTATGCTTGCTCAGTAAAAAGCCAGTTTGAACATTTCGTGGTGGTTGACAGAATTTGCCCTAAAACACACTAATTCAGATTCTTTGACACTCGTGTGTGGTGCACAGGGGGTGAGGGCTGCGGCACCGGGCACCGTGAGACAGCACGGGATTGAAGCGAGAACATATCCGTCGTGGTCACTGCCGGTGTTGTCAGGTGTTTGTTCTTAATCGTTATTGTAATATATTTTCAGTCGTTTTGTTTTTCTAATTTAATTCCTTCACTCTGTTGTCTGACTGTGAACTGCTAACAGTGTTAAACTTGATGTAAATAAACGATGCCCTTGAAAGGGACTGCTAGCGCCGCCTGTCTCACAAGGTTTGCCAAGTGGTGTTTTGTTTTAAATAAAGGTTGCAATATTTTATTGGCACCACAGGCTCTTGAGATTGGAGTGTTTCTCTCCCCTGACTTCCAGTGACGAGTTGATTCCTCCTCTGTGTACAGTAGGTGTGTGTGAGGGCAGGAAGCTGACTCAGCAAGCAGCCCTCCTGCGTCTTTAGGACACCCTCTGAGGGGCGTGTTCTTCCTTTGATGGGTGGCATCTTTGGAAATGGGCAGAAAGGCATCGCCTGGATCCCGGACTGGTGTGCGTCAGGTGGGTAACGTGTGTGAGTATAGACCCTCCTGAGGGAACAGTCTATTCCACCCCCCCCAAAATATTTAAATATCGTCGAGCTCTTTCATCTGCTGGCTCACTGGAATGCCTGCAGAAGCTGGGGCTGGGCTGGGCCAAAGCCAGGAGCCCTGAACTCAATCCAGTTCTTTCACGTGAGTGGCGGAACCCAACCGCTGGAGCCATCACCGGCACTCCCATACAGGATGTGGGAATCGCAAATGTAGTCTTAACCGCTGAACCAAACACCCTCCCCAGCTTTGCTAATTGACGCGTAGTAATCACACATATTTACAGAGTACAGGGTAATGTTTGAATGCATGCATGCCTTGTGGAATCAAGTCAAGATCATTAGTCTGTCACTTCATGCACTGGTCATTTCTCTGTGGTCAGAAGATTGAAAGTCCTCTCATAACTATTTCAAAAATCAGTAGTGTTAATCACACTCTACTGTGCAATGAACTACCAGAACTTGGTGTGACTTTGTGCCCACTGATCAGTCCTCTGTGTTCTGCCCCCACCCTCCTCTTCTATGCACTACTTCTTCAGAGTCTACATGAGAGAGGTACTGTGGTATTTTTCTTTCTGTGACTTGCCTATCTAATATGTTGTTGTCACAGGTCAGGGTTTTATTTTTATGGCTGAACAGTATTCCGTGATGTGTGTGTATGTATAATATCTTCACCCACCCATTGATGGACACAAGTTGATTCTGTACTCTGGCCGCTTTGAGGAGTGCTATCAGAAGTATGGGACTATGAATGTTTCTTCATTCTGATTTTTTAAAAAATTTTCAGTGAAATTGCTTTATTTATTAGACTTACTGATTTATTTCAAAGGTAGAATTACGGAGAAAATCGGGTTCATTCCCCAAAGGGTCACAATGGCTGGGGCTGGGCAGTCCCCCACGAGGGTGCAAGGGCCCAAGGACATGGGTCATCTGCTGCTTTCCCAGCATCAGCAGGGAGCTGGATTGGAAGTAGAGCAGCCAGGACTCGAACCAGTGCCCATATGGAATGCCGGCACTGAACGCCATGGTTTAACCTAAAGAAGATTTATTTGAAAGGAGAGTGGGGTTGGCGTTGAGGCACAGCCAGTTAAAGCCGCCGCCTGCAGCGCCGGCATCCCACGTGGGCGTTGGTTCGGATCCCAGTTGCTCCACTTCCGATCTAGCTCTCTGCTGTGGCCCGGGAAAGCAGTGGAAGATGGCCCAAGTGCTTGGGTCCCTGCACCTGCACGGGAGACCCGGAGGAAGCTCCTGGCCCTTGGCTTCGGATCCGCTCGGCTCTGGCTGTTGTGGTCATTTGGGGAGTGAATCAACGGAATGGAGGACCTCTCTTTCTCTGGCTCTACCTCTCTCCCTGGGACTCTGTCTTTTATATAAATAAAGTAAATCTTTAAAAAAAAATAAAGGCAGAATGACAGAAACAGAGGAGGAGATGGAGAGAGGGCTTCCATCTGCTGGTTCACTCCCCAAGTGGCTGCAGCTGGTGAGGCTGGGCCTGGCTGAAACCAGGAGCCAGAAAATCCATCCTGGTTTCCCACACGGGTGGCAGGGACCCAAGTACTTGGGCCATTTTCCGCTGCTTTCCCAAGCATGTTAGCAGGAAGCTGGATTGGAAGCCAGGACTTGAACCAGCACTGCAATATGGGATGCTGGATCACAAGCTGTGGCTTTACCTGCTGCACAACACTGGCCTAACACAGTGGTTTCATTCCCTTTGGGTATGTACCCCATATTGGGATTGCTAGCTCAGATGGTGGGTCAGTTTGCAGTTTGCTTAAGGAAACTCCATACTGTTTTTCCATACACGAATTTACCTTCCCAGATATGCCTAAGAGCATATTTTTGTTCTTTTTTAAAAAACTACTTGTTTGCAAGGCAGAGTGACAGAGGGGGATGGGGATGGAGATAAAGAGGGGACAAACAGCTTCCGTCTACCATCAACCAGTGCTAGAGCAGGCCAAGCCGGGAGCCAGGACTGCATCCAGGTCTCCCGCATGGGCCGTCGCCTGCTGCTTCCCAGGCACGTTAGCAGGAAGCTGGATGGGAAGTGGAGCAGTCAGGACTTGAACCAGGCACAGATGTGGGTACCCTGAGCAGCAGCTTAACCCACTGTGCCACGATGCCTGCCCCAAGCTCCTCCTCTTCCCACATTCACATCAGCTCTTGTTACTTTTTGTCTTTTTGATAGCCATTTTAATTAGAAGAAAATACCTCATCGTGGTTTTGATTTGCATTTCCTTGATGACCAGTGACATTAAACATTTTTTTCCCTAGACCTGTTGGCCATCTGTGTATTCTTTTAGAAATTTCTGTTCATGGGGACAGCGCTGTGGCATAGTGGGTAAAGCCACCACCTGCAGTGCCAGCATCCCATGTGGGCACCGGTTCAAGTCCCGACTGCTCCACTTCCCATCCAGCTCTCTGCTATGGCCTGGGAAAGCAGTGGAAGAAGGCCCAAGTCATTGGGCCCCTGCACACAGGTAGGAGACCCAGAAGAAGCTCCTGGCTTAAGACCAGTGCAGCTCTGGCCATTGCGGTCATCTGGGGCATGAACCAGTGGATGGTAGACCTTTCCCTCCCTCTCTGCCTCTCTCTGACTTTCAAATAAATAAATCTTTAAGAAAAAAAAAAAGTTCAGATCTTTTGAATTTTTCAGCTATTGAGTTCCTTCTAAATTTTGAATATTGATCCTGGTGTCGACAGGTCTGAGTCTTCGCCTTTCCGGTTTGATTCTTGTGCGTGTCTGGCTGCGGGAGCTCAGAGTTCTTCACTGGAGCTCACTCGTCAGCATCCTCCTCCTCACCTTCCTCTTCGTCATCTTCACCTGCAGCAGGCTTTGTTTTTTTCTCCTCTTCTCTTGCGCCTCTGCGTCTCCCCCACAGCCGCTGAGCGCCGTCCACTCCTGTGCCGCCCCCAGGGGGCCCGCGGGCCAGGACTCTGCCTCCCCTGTACTGCTCTCCCCGGGCCCGCACCTGCGCTCCGTGTGTCCTCTCCCAGGACCCACTGGACCCACTGAGAGCGATCCCCTGTGTCGGCCTCGGGTTCACAACCGAGAGGACGGTGCTAGAGCCCGGGGGCCAGGGGCGCGTGTCCATGGGCTCCAAGCCTTCCATGGGATGCACATGGGCACAGCGGGCACCATGGAGCGCGGGTTCCTAGGTTTGCACTTGTGTTACATGTGCGCCCTGCGCTCCTGTCCAGTCTGGCCCCATCCAGCGAGTTCAGGCGTGGTATTTGCTCTAAGGTTCAGAATGGTTTGCGTAGAACTGGCGTTGGTTTCTCTTGTGGCGTGTGTTGGACATTAGCAGCAAAGCCAGAGGTCCTGGACTTTTTTTTTTTTTTTTTTTGACAGAGTGGACAGTGAGAGAGAGAGAGAGAGAGAAAGGTCTTCCTTTTTTTTCCATTGGTTCACTCCCCAATGGCCGCTGCAGCCGGCGCACCGCGCTGATCTGAAGGCAGGAGCCAGGTGCTTCTGGTCTCCCATGCCGGTGCAGGGCCCAAGCACTTGGGCCATCCTCCACTGCACTCCCAGGCCATAGCAGAGAGCTGGCCTGGAAGAGGGGCAACCGGGACAGAATCCGGCGCCCCGACCGGGACTAGAACCCCGGGTGCTGGTGCCGCAGGCGGAGGATTAGCCTAGTGAGCTGCGGTGCCGGCGCTGGACTTATATTTTGAGGGGAGACATTTCTGACTCATTGGCTCAGCTTTTCTACTCCTGATCTAATCTTGCTGTGGCCAGGGCTCACCCACACCTCTTAGGTTGCTCACAGTGCCCTGTGGGAGTCTTCGGATTTCTGTGGCAGCCATTGTAGCATCTCCTTTCTTTCTTTCTTTCTTTCACTTCTGCAAAAGGTTTGATTATCTTAAAAAAAAAAAAAACAACGCAGTTCTTTGTTCTTGTTTCTCTTTCTGCTCTCTGGTCTCTTAAGAGTTACAGAGAGAAAGGTCCTTCCATCTGCTGGTTCACTCCCCAAATGGCTGCAACAGCCAGAGCTGGGCCAGGCTGAAGCCAGGAGCTTCTTCCAGGTCTCCCACACCGATGCATGGGGTTCAAGCACTAGGGCCATCTTCCACTGCTTTCCCAGACCATTAGCAAGGAGCTGGATTGGAAGAGCAGCAGCTGGGACATGAACTGGCACTCATGGGACGCTGACACTGCAAGCAGAGGCTTACCCACTACGCCACAGCGCCAGCCCTGGCTTACATGGTTTAGATCTAATTCACATGATTTTTGTCTTACCCACATGATTAACCAATTGACAAGAATTTAAGTGACATTAATGGTTTCTGAACAAGAGTGTTTGTTAGAGAAATAGTAATATGCTTTGGATTTTGGTTGGGTCTAATCTATAAATAATCAGTAGTGTTTTCTAATGACGGTATATTTTTAAGTTCTTATTTTATGTTTTTATTTAAAATATCAGTCCTTTTTGTTTAATTTGAAAGGCAGAGTTAGAGAGGGAGAGACATAGAGAAAGGTCTTCCATTCACTGCTCCACCCTCCTAAATGGGCCACAATAGCCAGAGCTGGGAGCTTCTTCCAGGTCTCCCATGTGGGTACAGGGGCCCAAGGACTTGAGCCATCTTCCACTGCTTTCCTGGGCCTCGCAGAGAGCTGGATTGGAAGAGGAGCAGCTGGGACATGAACCAGCGCCCATATGGGATGCAAGAGCCGGTTTTTTTTGGGTTTTTTTGGTTTTTGTTTGTTTGTTTGTTTGTTTGTTTTTGACAGGCAGAGTTAGAGACAGAGAGAAAGGTCTTCCTTTTCCATTGGTTCACCCCCTAAATGGCCGCTTCAGCTGATGCACTGTGCAGATCCAAAGCCAGGAGCCAGGCGCTTCCTCCCGGTCTCCCAAGCGGGTTTATGCTCTGCTGGCTTCCGTTTGCATGGGCATCACTTTCCATCCCCTCACCTTCAGTCCTGTGTGCCCTCGCCTTGTAGGTGGCATATCCAAAGTGGGTCTTGTTTTTTTAAGATTTGAGAGAGAGAGGTCTTCCATCCACTGGTTCACTCCCCAAATGACCGTAACGGTTAGAGCTGAGCTGATCTGAAGCCAGGAGCTTCTTCTGGGTCTCCCATGTGGATGCAGGGGCCCAAGCACTTGGGTCATCTTCTGCTGCTTTCCCAGGCCACAGCAGAGAGCTGGACTGGAAGAGGAGCAGCCGGGACTCGAACCAGTGCCCTTATGGGGTGCTGGCACTGCAGGCAGCGTTTTAACCCAGTGCACCACAGTGCCAGCCCTATGGGTCTTATTTTTGAACACATTCAGTCATTCCGTCTTTTAATTGCAGAGCTTAATCCACTTACATGCAACGTGGTTATCCATATGTAGGCACTTCCCCCACTGCTGCTGTTGGTTTTATTCACTGTTTTCTGGTTTCACAGGTGTGCATGTGAGAGGCCTGTGCGTGCAATGCCCAGTGAGTTCCAAACAGGTTCTGAGTAAATGTAGCGCTAACAGAGAACGCGCGGGCCCTCTCGAGGGCACATGCTGTTTCCTCGATATTTTTTTAAAAGTGGGTGCTTTATGCATAACCTTCATTAGGAAGGAGCAGGTCACACACAGGTGCACACCCGGCCCGTCCGCCGCCTGCAGCCCGCTGCTGTCAGCTCAGAGTCTTCGAGGAGACTACCCCCTGTGACCTTCCCACTCCACGCTCTCCTTGTACTGCTGTCCACGCCCAGGACTGGGGTCAGACACGGGAGCTGGGGCCTGGCGTTCAGCTGCAGTTGTGTTAGGTTGGTACCTTACTGCGCTGCGCCACCGCCCACCTGGTGTAGGGTGGAAACTCCTCCAGTGTGGACAGGAACCAACTTCCTTTTTATGTCTGCAGCTCTGTGTTCTGAGCACTGGTAGGTACAGCTGGGCTCAAGTGGAAACGAGGATGAAAGTGAGGTTAGCTCCGGGTGGAAGGTGACCGAGGCGACTCCTGCCCAGGCAGCCTGGCTCCAGGGAACTGGCCCGCAAGTGCTGTGGTGTGCCTGCGGCTTGCAGGTGGACAGCACACCATGGGGGGGGTGGGGGCACGTGCTAGGATCAGGTGGCCTGCATACCGTCTCCAGACGCGCTGAGTGGACGGACTAAAGGATGGTGAGTGGCAGCCATGCCCACCTGGGCCGCATGAGTGGTGTGAAACTGGGCTGCTTTATTTACTGGCCATTTGTATGGAGGACCCGCGATGGCTGTGCTCGGTACTCCCTAACCCTAGGGCAGCACTTGAGTAATGGAGTGCAACAATGTGTGTGCCGGGGTTGGAGGGACAGAGGGGTTCCATTTCCCGGGGGCTCAAGACGAGAGCTTTGGGAAGAGACAGAGGAAAGACCTGGGCTGTGCCTGTCACTGTCTTCCGCATGCTGCCACGCCCTCCTCCATCCTGTGTTTGTTTTTAACCTGGGTGCTGAGAGGTAGCACTGTGCAATGGCAGCCCATCTCCGCCACGGCCCGCAGGAGTCCCCGAGCCTGGCTCTCAGGCAGAAGGCTGGCCGAGGTGGTAGAAAGCCACATTTTAATCTTGGCCAAGGCAAGGCTCCTTCTTGCATTGTTGTGTTTGTCGTACAAGCCACCACCCCCATGCTTTACAAACACACACAGGCTGTCCGCCCCCTCGGCCACAGAGCGGCAGTCTCTGCTTTGGCACCTGACGCCCACCGCGCCCCCCACCCCACCCGCTGAGGTCTGCACACAGGAGCTGCGAGCCCAGGGAGGCCCGTGCAGAGTCCTGGCAGCAGGCGCCTCTCACTGGCGCACCTTGTGGAGTGGGAGTTGCTAAGGCACCTGGTGTCGTTCCCACGAGAGCGGCGGCTGGGAGCCACGGTGCCCCTCCCGTAGCGCGCTCCCTTGGCCCAGTCTTGGTCTGAGTGCTCACGGCAGGAAGTAGTGAATTCTCTGGGAAACAGACTTGCAGCCCTGGGCTGAGAAGCGCTGCCCCTCCTTGGGGACGTAGACCATGAGCCGGGCGATGCTGTCCAGGGCCTCCTCTGTGTACGCGAGCCCTTGGCTCAGGAAAGCGTCCCGTGCGCACAGCCGCACGTGGCCGAACTCCAGGGGCAGGAAGGGGACGAAGGCGTCGATCAGGTTTTCCTTCACCAGGCGGCTGGCGCCGAAGCCGCTGTCTGAAACCAAGACGCAGAGTTACATTCAGGGCTGGGGCTGGCGGCTGCGAGGGCCGGAACCGTGCAGCTGTGTGCATCCCCTGCAGGCAGGGTGGAGCACGCCAGGGGCCGGGCCCGGGGCCTCAGTAGCCACCGCTCGTATTCCCTGGGCTGACCGGGTGGGCTCCTCGTGTCTGCACCCGCCCTGGCTCCCTCCAGCCCTGGGTCACTCACCCGTGGACGCCGCGACCTCGGCCCGGAGCTGGGGCTCCAGCTGCTCCGCGGTGATTTCCTCCCGGGCCCTGCCAGCCTGCAGCCACTCCAGGACCAGCTCGTTGATGACATTGCCCCCAAGGTTACTAAGAGAGAGAGAAGCACCCGTTAACTCGGCTTTAAATTGAGCTTCCCCAAGCCTTACCGAAAGGACGGGGACGAGGCCCGCTCTTCCCTCCCAGGAGCTGCTGTCGCAGCCCAGAGGCCACGGCCACGCAGTAAGTCACGGCTGTGCTTTGCCGGCCATGGTCCCGTCCTTACTGAGTGCTGCCGCTAGGGGGCGCGGGGCAGTGTGGCCCCAGCCGCACTCCAGTAAGGATCTCCCTGCTGAGACACCCCCCGGCGGAACAGCTGTTCCCACCCCAGCCACCTTCCTGGGAGCCAGGGGAGAGACCACAGTGTCTGCCTTTAGTCAGAGAAGACAAGACACATGCAGAAGGGGGAAGGAGACAGTGGCCCCCTACCCCCCTTCCTCCCGGCCCGAAGCAGCTGGATACGGGGAGAGGTGTCTCACGGCCCGCCCGAGCGTACAGCGAGGGAACCAGCACGTGGGCTTCAAACAGAGACCACCCCACCACCCTCCCCCCAACCCCTGGAGATAGCAGGTGCATAAGCTCTGGGAGTGCCAGGCCCTCCGCGACGAGCCCCAGCACCAGATAAAGCCCAGAGAGTCCCCCTCCCCAGGCAGGGACGGGTCCACTTGGGGATTGCTTCGGCCATGCTGGGACTCAATCCAGCACCAGGCAGACCCTAACGGTGCTCTCGGCTCAGGCCACCACCTGCAGCACCCACGGCCCCAGTTGATAGATTCCTGACCGCACAGTGGCTGCTCACGGCGGCCCCGGGCCTGAGTCCACCCCAGTAGCCCCTGGTGTCCCTGTACGGAGACGCCCGGCCTTCCGACCCTGGTCGTAGGAAGAAGCTCCCAAGGATGAGCCAAGCCCTTCTCCAGTTCATTCTGAAGAACATGCCCACTGCAGATCTGGGCCAAACTGGCACAGGACCCCCGGCAGTAACACACCAAAGCAGGGGCGTGGCACGCACTGACTTAGGGCGCCGTTTAGTGCAGAAACAGCAGAAGTGAGAACCCAAGGCTGCTTAGGACTTCTGCACGGGGGCTGAGACACCCACCTTGCATCCGAGTGTCCGGCTTTGCACCCTGGCTCCACCCCCGATTCTAGCTCACATGCGCCTGGGAGGCAGCAGGCGATGGCTCAAGTAGCTGGGTCCCTGCCGCCCACACGGGAGGTTTGGATTGAGGCCTGGCTCCTGACTTGGGCCTACCCCAACTATTGCAGGCATCTGTGGAGTCACCTAGAAGACTGGTTTGTGGAGGAGCAGGGTAAGCTGCCGCCTGCCTCCCCTAGCAGAGCGCCGGTTCGAGTCCCAGCTGCTCTGCGTCTGCTCCAGCGCCCTAATGCTCCAGCGAAGGCGGCAGCAGAAGGCCCAAGGTGCTTTGTCCCCTGCCACCCATGGGAAAACCAGATGGAGTTCCCGCCTTCAGCCCGGCCCAGCCCCGCTGCTCGTGGCCATTGTGGGAGTGAGGCGAATGGCTGGAAGATCGATCTCTCACATTTTCAAATAAATAAATCTTAAAACTTTTTTAAGCTCTGTTTTTAGGAAATACCTGTCTTAAACTCAGAGAGCAGCAAGTGAACGTAGAGAAATGATTCTATTCACTCACAGAGATGGAGTTAACCTTGAAATCAAACCTTTCAGAAAGGAACAGTAAGCAAAAAACTTCCAAGTGTGGCAGAAGGTAGCAAACCAAAATAGGTCAAAGGGAAGAGAGGAGGAGTGAGTTCCAGGCAGGCTAACCAGACCTACACAGCTGAAGGGGAAGAAATGAACCAAGAATGAAGACGGCTGGAGGGAACTCGGGGAGCGGGTTCAGAGCAAGTATCTTACTGAGGTTCAAGAGGGACTTGAGAGGGCAAGAAAAGCATATTCCAAGAGAATATCGGGGCCGGCGCTGTGGCGTAGCGGGTAAAGCCACCGCCTGCAGCACTGGCATCCCATATGAACTCAGGTTCAAGTCCCGGCTGCTCCACTTCGGATCCAGCTCTCTGCTGTGGCCTGGGAAAGCAGTGGAGGATGGCCCAAGTGCTTGGGCCCCTGCACCCACGTGGGAGACCCAGAGAAGCTCCGGGTCTGCCCAGCTCCATTGCAGCCATTTGGAGAGTGAGCCTGTGGACGGAAGATCTAACTCTGCCTCTCAAATAACTCTTAATAGCAGAAGACACCCCTGCCCAAGATAGAACAGCCCAGGTGCAGGAAGGCTGGTCACACCGTGCAGATTCAGTTCAACCTAGTTGGTCCCAGGTCGGGTTGTAATCATGCTCTCCAAGGTTACAGCTAAAGAGGATTGTCAAAGCATCAGGGTGTCTCCCTCTGCCTGGCTGCAGCCACAGCAAAACGCTAGGCGAGCAGCGGAAGCTTGCCAGCCAGGAATTCTGTGCTCAGCAAAGCTGTCTTCTGGATAGGAGGGAGAAAGGACATCTCCAGTCCAAAGCTGAGAGAGTACATCAGACCATCTAACAAGAGATACCAGAGCGGGGCTGGCACTGTGGCGCAGCAAGTTAAAGTCCCAGCCTGCAGCGCTGGCATCCCACATGGGCACCAGTTCTAGTCCCAGCTGCTCCACTTCCGATCCAGCTCTCTGCTGTGGCCTGGGAAAGCAGTGGAGGATGGCCCAAGTCCTTGGGTCCTTGCACCCATGTGGGAGACACAGAGGAAGTGCCTGGCTCCTGGCTTCGGATTAGCGCAGCTCTGGCCGTTGCAGTCATTTGGGGATTGAACAGGTGGATGGAAGATCCATCTCTCTCTATATATATATATATAACTCTTTCAAATAATAATAAAAAAAATACCAGAGGAAGTTTTCAAACTGATAGACACAAGAGTCAGAAGACAACAAGAGAGGTAGAAAACTCACTGGTATGAGTAACAATACAAGTTCACAGTGATCTAAAATACAGCAACCATGATGCATAAGCCATTTAGTTAGAATACTCAGTACAGGTGTTCTAGAAAAATATGAAATAGGACATCAAAAATTCCAAATCTGGGGAGTGCAAGTGTATAGTTCATTTATATTTCTCTAGTCTTCATTTCTGTCTTTATATAAATAATAATGGATCTTTAAAATAACGATCCTCTTATTTTTAAGGGGCAGAGTGGGGACCAGTGCTGTGGTGCAGTAGGGTAATCCTCCATCTGCAGTGTCCGCATCCCATATGGGCACTGGTTTGAGTCCTGGCTGCTCCACTTCCCATCCAGCTCCGTGCTATGGCCTGGGAAAGCAGTAGAAAATGGCCCAAGTGCTTGGGCCCCTGTACCCACGTGGGAGACCCGAAGAAGCTCCTGGCTTCAGCCTCACCCAACCCTGGCCATTGTGGCCATGTCGGGAGTGAACTAGCAGATGGAAGACCTCTCACTTTCTGTAACTCTGCCGAATGAATGAATGAATATTGTTTAAGAAAAGAAAAAAAGCCAAAGGTCGGCAGCGTTCAGCATGTGAACCAGAGATTCTTGCAGGGGGAACAGGTCTACAGTCCCCACGGTCTTAGAGCCTGGCTGGGTGGCTACACCCGCAGACTCCCAGAGTCAAAACACCAAGGCAGCTCTGCCTCTCTGCTGATGGACAGACTGGCAGGGCGGAGAGACACCTCTGGCCCCTGCGACTGTGCGACTATTGTGTACTTGAGACCTGGGAGACTGGCAGTCACACGAGAAAGGGGAGGGGGTAGCTGGGTAACGAGCTCCACCACGCCCAATTGGGCGTTACCCTGGAAACCTGTCCCACCCTAGAACTCCCAGGCCACACCCACCACCACCTCCTGGTACTCACTGAAAAAGCAGACATGGACTGTGCCACAGAGGCTGAGCCCCAGGAAAAAGGCATCAGAAGAAAAATCAAAACAACTCCACAGACACCTAAAAATAGAGCCAGAAATTCAGGAAACAAGAGTAAAGAACACAAGAACGTTTCAGTATTAGAATGTGAAGATGAAGAGACTGAGGAAATACCAGAAATGGAATTCAAAAAATTATTCATATGATTACTCAAAAGCAAAGAGAACCACATTTACAAACTAGATAACCACACATGACATGAATGAAATTTTTCCACATGAAATTTTTGAAGAGAAATCAAAACGAAATATTACAACTGAAGAATTCAATAGACCACATAAAAAATGTGGTGGAAAGTCTTAACAGCAGAGTTCGCAAGGCAGAGAAAGAATATCTAAACTAGAAGACAAATCATTGGAAATCTTATAATCAGAAAAAGAAGAAAAAAAAACAAGAAGAAAATAGAAAACTTAAAAACAGTTTTGGAGACCTATGGGATACTATTAAATGACTCAACATATGAGTCTTAGGGGTTTGAGGGTGCAGAGAGAGTGAACTAGAAAACCTAGTTAGTGAAATAATAACAGAAAACTTCCCCTATTTGGAGGAAGAAAGGGATATCCAAGTAGAGGAAGCACATAGAACCCCTAACAGACAAGACAAGATCTTCACCACGCCACACTGCAGTCAAACTCTCCATAGTAAAACATAAAGATTCTAAAATGTTTACGAGAGAAATGCCACATTACTTTCAGAGGATCTCTAATTAGACTCACAGCTGACTTCTCATCAGAAACTACAGGTTATAAAGGAATGGCAAGATATAGACCAAGTCATAAAAGAAAAAACTGTCAACCCAGAATACTAGACCCTGCAAAGCTCACATTCATGAACAGAAACTGAAAGAATTTGTCACCACTTGTCCAGCCTTACAAAAGATGCTTAGGGGGTGCTACACACAGAAACACAGGAAGATAGCCATCATTACAAAAGAATGAGATGGCAGAAAACCCCCCAGTACAAGTACAAAAGAAATCCAAAGTAAACAATAGGAATAACTAGGGAAAAATGGCAGGGCCAAGTCATTACTTATCAACAGTCACCTTGAATGTAAGTGGCCTCAACTCTCCAGCTGAAAGATGCAGTGGCAGAATGGATTTAAAAACAAGACCCATCGATTTCCTGCCTACAAGAAACACGTCTCCCCAACAAAGATACACGCAGCCTGAAA